GAGAGAGAGAGAGAGAGAGAGACAAGAGAGAGAAAAGAGAGAGAGAGAGAGAGAGAGAAAAGAGAGAGAGAGAGAGAGAGAGAGAGAGAGAGAAAAGAGAGAGAGAGAGAGAGAGAGAGAGAGAGAGAGAGAGAGAGGGGATTTCTTGTTGTCACAAGCAGTTTTTTTTCGCGCTTTTTGACATCATTTGGATGCGGCTGCTTGGGCGATTGAAACCGATGGCATGACGCTACCTCGGAGCATGATGCGTCGGCCGGTGCCATTGTGCTGGCACCGCGCTCAGCGGTGGGTTAGTGAATGGGTGGATCCATCGTGGCCTGAAAGCATCCGACTCATCAACAACTTTCTCACTTGTGAGGAACGTACGTATCGTCTCGCCTTCAATTCAATTCCGTAGTTGACCAACGGTATATCACTCGTATTCTTGGCTGCAGAGGTGGCTGTTCGACAGGAGCTGGCAAGCTGGCCCACGCAGTCCGTCCGGGCTCCAGGGGGACAGCCAGAGTGAGCGTGTTGCTCGGGCGAGACGGGTGCAAAGCCCCCGTCAACCCTCACAAGCGATCATGTGTTTTGGTCGTACCATGGCAGGATGACCCGCTACTATGTGGGTCGTGAAAAAGCCAACTTCATGCGCCGTTCACTGATGTCGGCAGCACCCACCGTATGGCAGCACATGCTTCGGGCCCACACCCAGAATTTTGTACCAACCGAGCCCAATACGGCCCAACTCAACCGGTGTGTGCAGCGGACACGCGGGCGAGCCAAATACCCTGAAGCACATGGACAGCCTGTGGCCACACCATCTCACCGCAGAGTCTTTTGCTCCATTTTGAGCTCATGTGTAGCTACGCACTCCATGCCGGCATTCATTTTCACGTGGACGCGCGTAGCATCGGCCGCTACATTGCCACCCTGAGTCTTGGAGCACCAGCTGTCCTCGAGCTACGGCTGGCCGATACGGCCCTGTCAGATGATTTACAAAACCCCAGTACGCCATCTATGCCATCCACCTTGCCTTGCAAAAGCCACTGGGCCTGTTTTGTTTTCCTTTTTCCTTTGGGTTTCTCACTTGCTAACCCTGTCACCCTGCCACCCTGTCGTGGTTGAAGGCACACCCACAACGCTCAAGATTGAGCTGCAACCGGGCTCGCTCTTGATTCTGCAACAGGCTGCTCGCTATGAATGGCAGCACGGCATAGAACCCACTTTCCCGCAACCTTTTGATGCTACCACCGCCGCCGCCACGTACGCGTCCGTGCAACCAGCCACCGTCGTCGTTGTTGTATGGCCTCCTCACTTACCCTTTGCCGACGCAGGTATCGGATTTCAGATCCTCTTGATTCCCACCGAGACTCGTTCGTCTTCTGGGACTCTAGTCCGGACCCCGATGCCCCCCCACCAAAACATACGGCCCGCAACAGCGGCCGTCTACGCTTCTTTTCATGACTCTTAATCGAATGTTATCATTGACCATTGCCGAATCCCCTTTCGTTTCATCAGCATGCCCTCCCTGTGGCGCTACGTGCACCGTCTCCTCCCAACCCCACTCACGGGCCAGGCACCCTTCACCGAGCTGCGCTTCAGCGGCATCCAGCAATGGTTCTCCATCGACCCCTCGCCTCATCCCCTAACGAACGGACGTCGTAGCCAAGCGTCTCCCAAGTCTCTGCCAAGCTTGCCTGTTGGACATTGCAGACCCCTGCTTTTGCATCATGTCCTTTCTGTCGGTGCGCGAAAGACAAAAAGGAAAAACGCAGATAATGTCGCTATAATTGGGGTTTATGCCTCGGATCGCTTTGAACTACCTTTGATATCCTTGAACTTTATGAAGCAAAAAGAGCCAATATTGCAGTCTGACATTTATTTTTAGGAATCAGGTGAGCTTTCAGTGTGTGTGGTACGTGTGTGACACATGTCTGCGACTTGAGGCTGCTCGACGAGAGGGCGCAAAGGGCAGCCCATGCATTGTCCACCAGGGTAATAGATCACCGAAGGCACCTCCCCGCCCGCCTTGGATGATACCGCACCTGCTGCGCGCGCCGTACTCAGACCCATGCACACACACACACACACACATACACACGGACATGCAGACACGGATCCACGGACACACAGACACATTTCTTGACGCATGTCCCCCCCTTAAGCGGCCTGCCCAGAGAGGGTGCTGTTGTGTGCGCTTGGCGGGATCAGGTTTTCTCCCTCCCTCCCTCTCTCTCTCTCTCTTTTACGTGTTTCAAACCAGTACGGTATTGCGTCAGCTCCGGCGTCGTGCTCATCTTTTCCCTGCTGTGTACGCGGGTCGTCAGCTCGCAGCTGGATCCAATTTTTTTTTCTCGCTCCGCGCATGCCTTTGACCGCAACATCCCCCAGATCCGGGTTGTTCGGGCGGGCAGCACTGTCCGTTCATTTGCATCGGTGTCAACAGCACCATGTCAATGATGGAGCACTTTCAATCCCTGTGCTCGGTAGGTCTTGATGCCTTGTCCCTCGTTCAAGCGTCTGTATCTTTGCGCCTGCTCACACTGCTTTCTTCTGATCAACTTAGTCGATGCTGGGCTGGTGGCCCCTGAGCAAGCCTGCCATCGGCGTGCCTTCGACTGACTTGACCTTTTATGGCATGCCCTCCCCTGTCGGATTGTCGCTCGGCCTCGGTGCCGTCGCTGTGGGCCAGGTACGCACCCGATGATCGGCCAAGTCCGATTGCCTACAGGCCTCAACTTTCTTGCCATGCTCCATCTCATCAACTCAATGAATAGCTCTTGACTCTGGCCTATTTTTACGTGCGCCGCGAGGTTTACGACGGTGCTGGACGTACCATTCAAAAAGCCGACCGTGAACGCTATGACTTCTGGGAAGGTCAGCCCATGGCGCTTGCACCTCGGCGCTTGCCACACATCTCATTTGCGCTTGCCTCTTGTGCTCACACATTGCATTTCGCCCACAGGTGTATCGACACACTTGGCGCAGCCCGAGGGCTTCATTTTGCTTGGCGGTTACCTCAGCATTGTACGGCATGGGTACTACTCGGGCTGGACATGAATCTTGTGGGCACACCACTCATCTGGCGATGATGTTTGGACCTTTGTAGTATTGGCTGGCCAATCTGATGCCGAGCAGTTACTACTCATTTGAAGGCGGCGTGAATTGGACTCACGTAGCTCTGCAGCTTATCATTCAGGTTTGCTTTCGACTGGCATTGATGCTTGCTTTCGACTAGTGCAGGGCGGGTGTAAAACACCAGGTCTTTTCAAATCTGATGTGTTTGGGCGAGACTCACGCATCTTGTCTGTCAACTAATAGGATGGCATTCAAGCTTTGATGCACTACGGCGAGCATGCGGTGTCCCCTGCCTTTTATCGCATCAGCCACAAGCCCCATCACCGGTACAAGAATGTGCTTTGTCTAAAGATCTGGTCAGGTCGTCGCACGCGTGACCATCTTGGAAGTGGTTTCACAATGTGTACTCGTCCCTGTTTTTTTTTTTTTTTTTTTTTTTTTTTTTTTTGGTCTAGGTGGCTCAACCCCAGGCTCTTTGACGCCTTTAACGGCTCCATGTGGGACACCATCTGCATGATTCTGATTCCCCTCTTCTTGACCTCACAAGTTATTCACTGCAATGTTTGGTATGTGACCCCCAAACCCAAAGCATAGATGTGCGAGCCATTACCACCTTGCCCTGCTTGGGTCTCATGCTTATCATTGGGTCGCTCGCTCACCTGCAGGTCTTACATGGTCTTTGGCACCATTTATGCAAACTACCTGACCTTGATCCATTCCGAATATGCCAACCCCTGGGATCGGTCGGTGTTTTTATTGCACGCACGCCAAGTCCATGACGATTGTCGACCCAGTTTATTTCTACTCGACTTGTCTCCTTTTTAACTTATATGTCCTTCGTGGTGCATTTTTAGCTACGTGCGTTGGTTTGGCATTGGCACAGCCGCCGATCATCACGTGCATCATCGTTTGTTCAAGTTCAACTACGGCCATCTGTTTTTATGGTGAGTTGAGCTATGTTTCATGTCTGACTTTCGAGGCCTGAGTCTTGATGCCAGCTCTTGACTCGCAATTGTCTCATGCCGTTTTGGGCCGTGCTGTTCAGGTGGGACTGGATGCTGGGCACCTACCGCCACCCTGACAAGGTGCACCAGTTCAACAGCGGCGTGTAGTGTCTTGTGTTATAGCCTGCGCGTGTTGGCTTGAAGCAGGACCAAGCCCGCATCGTGCGTCGTGTGTGTAAGTGTTTTCCCTGACCGGGATTCTCAGTCATGATTCCAATCGCAGCCTTTTGGCTCTCTAAGCAACCTCCATCCCCGTTGGATTCCAAATCAATTGAAATTTGGACTCTTTTTGGTTGATACCATATCGGCACTGCAAAACCCCAGAACCAAAAGGCTTCGAACAGCGAGCACCTGCCTGCGACACGCGGAGACAAATTCAAAAGCGGAGATGGCAGCGGAGGCGCAAACGGCAACGAAACCACTGGAATCGGAGCCAATACCAAGCCCGAGCCTCCGGAGCAAAAGCCGGAGCCAGTCACAAGCTAAAATCACACACACAACACAACACAACACAACACAACACAACACAACACAACACAACACAACACAACACAACACACATGTGCTCAAAGTGTCCCAAAACTGAAATCAAAAACTTTGCGCAATATTCGACCACACACACACACACACACACACACACACACACACACACACACACACACACACACACACACACACACACACACACACACACACACACACACACACACACACACACACACACACACACACACACACACACACACACACACACACACACACACACACGAGTTTCATTTTCCAACCACACGACGAGCATCATCAACGCGAGGGGTCCAGCACGACGTGTCGACGGGTGTGAGGCAAGCATGAGTATGATCAGCATCATGGGCAAGTCGGCATCTTGGATGGTTCTGGCCATGGGCTTGCTCATGAGTGTACAGATGGTGAGTCGGCGGAGGGGAGCGATTGATTGTCTAAGGCTTTCTTTTTGATCGACTTGTCTCAAGCCGTGCACGAATTGGTATGCGGATGATCTTTTCATTGCGACGGACAGGTGTATGCCGACTGGAGCATGACACAGCCCATGCCATTGGGTCGGAGTGATATGACCGCGACTCTCTACCAAGATCGCGTTTACATCATGGGCGGCTGCACGGGCAAGCAGGTGATGTGCCGGTCCGCCAGTCTCGCACGTGTCACCAGGCCATGGACTCGTGTATCTGGCTCACATGTCGACCAATTTTTGTGCAGGTGTATTTTCAAGATGGCTCCTATGCTGGTTATGGTTGTGCTTCCCTAGCCGAAGAGGACTTTGTTTGGGACTATGAAAATCAAAGCTATAGCGTCAGTTGGATCAATTGGGGTGCCAATCGGATGGCGACAGACTTGAGCGCTAATTTTTTTTTTGCTGTTTGCTTTTTGCTTTGTAGCTGCTGCCCAGCCAGCCACCATATCGGCGTTATCGTCACACAGCCCAGTTGATTGATGGCAGTCTGATGCTCATTGGTGGTCGCACGCTGGACGATGTCATCACCGCTGATGTGCACGTCTACACGTTTGCCAACGAGGTGAGGTCGCCCCTGGCTAAAGCGCTCAGGGTCTGATTCCACACCTGGCTTTGGCTTTGGCTGACTCTGGCGGGGTCTTCTCTAGGCCTGGAGTACATTGAGCACACCGGGCCCAGCATTGTCCGACCTAACCAGTTTCATCCTCCACGATAGCCTCTACGTACTCGGCGGCTACTCTCACGGTCTGGCTCGGATTACTGGGCCAGCATCTTTTGGAAATCCTGCACAACTGATTCTTGATCATCTGTTTTGACATGCTCAGACTACACTGCACAGTCCACCCTGTACCTGTACAATGAGTATAGCGAAGGCTTTGTGACTCAACCCAGCGTGGCCTTGCCTGTGCAGCGAGGGTGAGTCGTTTTTGTGTCAGCTTTGATGTACCAGACATGGTCGCAATGTGAAACTTTTTCTGCCCCCCTCTGCCTACATTCATTTTGAACTTGGCCTTTCGGCGTGGCATAGGGATTTATCTGCTGTGGTTTGGAATAACAATGTCTATGTGGCTGGTGGCTTCAGTCACGAGAATGGGTTTGTCAAGGCCTATGAGGTGCGCTGTTTGCTCTCGCCGCTGGTTTTCGACTACACTGTCACATGGCGTTATTCGCGCCATTTGCTTTGCTGAGCACAACGCGTGACTCGCACATGCTGCCGCTCGACCTCTGTAGAACGTGTATCGATTCGATGGTGTCAAGTGGACCGAAATTGCCAGCCTCAACTTGGGCCGGGGTGACAAGGCCATGGTTGTGCTTGGTGATATTCTCTACGTCATTGGTGGTGAATCTGGAGGGGGCAAGGTCGAAACAGCTGTGGAGGTGCGCATGCTGTTGCTATTCTCGGGGTTGGCATCAAGGTGAACAGTATAATGTAAATTACCACAAGCATCTTCTGCTCATGGCTTGTGCACACCATCGACGGTGGCTTGTCCATGCTTAGGCCTACAACAGTGCCGCTGATACTTGGACCTTGGATGCTGAGCTGACCGTCGCGGCCGTGCGCTACCGGTACGTCCTTGTTTGCCTCCACAGTCACATGAGGCCTTTGGGGCTTGATTTATTTCATTATTTTTTTGCTGGCCCAAGCGACACGCGTACCTGATCGACTGCTCCCTGTGCTCGATCAAACAATCAGTTTTGCAGCAACGACAACGCCCCTTGGCGTGTGCGTGTTTGGTGGTACGCAACACGACCATGGACCCTCTTGTCCCCTGATCACGGGGGTGCACGGGACGATGCACGCACGCTGCGTCGCCATTTTCTGATTGTTGGCGAAATGCCAGGCCAGTCGTTTCAAATGAGCTCACGTGGCATCGGCATTGTGGAATTTGTAGGCCAGGGTGAGGTTCTGGGGGGCATAAATCAGAACTACTCTTTTTTCCCCGTCCACTCGTCCGTGGAGATCTTCAAGGAGAGCCAGGCGGGTCGCAGTCATCATCTCTCTTCTGGCGAGCTGGGTCTTGTCATTGTTTGTTGTTTCATCATCTTGGCCATTATTGTGGCCCTTGCATTCTATTGCAAGGTGAGTGTGGTTTCGCTTATACGACTGTCGGCCGCGCCCGGCCACACGCCTTTAAGCCTCAGTTTTCAAGTTAACCTTGCGCTCTTTTTTGACTCGTAAATCTTAGTCTCCTCGCTCCAAGACATCGACATCGTTTGATAACCCGCTGTCACTGGTGGACCAAAACACCGTGACGGACTCGGAGACGCTGCATGCGGTATAGGTTTTCCAACCCTTTCCTTAGCTAGCTCTACTGGTCCATGTTGCCTCGATAGAAACCGTCTTCGTTTTTTTTTTATATGCTGTTGTCCTTGTACTTCTTCTGATTGTGTCCGTAAATGCCGTCTACTCTTGATGCATCTCGAGTTGAAACTGAGACATGCACTGTAGCTTTTTGTCTTCCCATCTGCTGAGCCTTTTCTTTGAACGCGTGTGCGCTGGATGAGCATTCTTCAGCCACAAGTCGAGTCAAATGTCGATTCGCCCTTGGCGAAAAAGAGAAAAAAAATACTTGGCCTCAGTCGACTGGGCAGCGTCGGCAAGTCGTAGGAGAGAATTGAGGTGTGATACGAGTAACAGGGAGGAGAAGGATAGAAGACAGGAGTCAGAACAAACAGGCACTCGGTTGTTCTACATGGTGGCAAGGCCCAGCTTTGCCAGTCTTAGGGTGAGGGAGCGATCGAACGAACAGAAAACATGGTAGCAGGTCCTTGTTCCGAACAGAGAGTAAAGGTGGACCAAGAAACAAGAGCAAACAGAAACATTCAAGCCCACCGCACGCAGCAGCAAAAACAGCAGAGTCTCGCTCAACGAGAGGCCAATGCAAGGCGGTGGGCGGGGTGAGAAAAACACTAGCGTGCCGCAACAACAGCTCAACGCTCAAAGGCGTGAGAAAGGAAAAAAAAAAATAAGTCAAAAAAGAACAACAAGCTTGACAGCACCAAGCGAAATACACCAAACGGAACATCACATCAAGTCTGGTCCATCTGCGCCTGGCCATGGGCTAGAAGGCAAGTGCTTCATTGGTCTTGCTGGTTTTCAAGAGCCCGCTTCTTTTCGCGAACCCGTCGGGCGTGTTCCTCCTTCTCGCGTAACCGCTCACGTAGCTGCTTGAAGTGCTGCTCACGGTTCTCTTCGGCCCGGTCCTCGGCTTCGACAACCTTATTCTCTAGGTCACGGTTTTTACGATCTTCGGCCACACCGGTCGCCTTGGATGTTTCGGCGGCCATTTTGGCCTTGATCCGGTTCTCGTACTCGGCTTTGCGCTTTTCTGCCGCCTCAAGCTTCTTTTGAAGCTGATCCAGGGTCATATCCTGCTTGCGGCGCTTGGAGGAGTGATGCAACTGTTCCAAACGGCGCGGCACTCGTGCTTGGTTGCCATCGTCCCACTGAATTTCAAAAGCCGAGCCGCCGCGGGAGCTGGGCCTTTGCATGATGGATGGAGCGCTGCGGGTGCTGGTGGCCGACATCATGCGAAGTGAATCGTCATCACCGTCGTCACCATCCGACTTCTTAACACCCGAACCCGCAACTTCCAAGTCAATGTCGGTGTTATTTCCTTGTGCTGCTACGGCCTCGGCTCCTGGCGTGTCTTCCGTCAGCATGCCATCATTTTTACTGTCGTTGTTATTGTTGTTGCTGCCATTCGTAGTCGGCTTGGGAACCTCTTCCGGATTTTGAGACGCTGCGACTTGGACGGTCGTAGGTGCAGCTGTGTTGTCAATCCAAGAGAGCGTGTGTGAGGCACACGGGGAGCCAGCAAAGGCAAGCTTGCAACCCAGAAAAAAAAAGAAAAAAAAAAAAGGAAAAAAGAAAAAAAAAGAGGTGAAGGGGAACCCGTTTAAACGCACCATCCGGGGCCTTGCCCGGTGCCACTTTGACTTCAGCAGCTTTGCTACCTCCGCAACCCATGGTGCTGTCTTGCAGGTAAATTGAATTCGGGTGATCACTGCTCATGCCCAACGAAGAGACAGAGAAGCGGGGGCACTGTGGCATGAGCTCGAGCAGCAGCAAAGGGCAGTCGATCCATCCCTCCCCAAACAAGAAGACATGCTCAAGGGGGAGGCAGGTGACACGGATACACACACCTGAATGAAGCAGAAGAACAGAGGGGCAGCCTCCAAGCACACGGGTCTACAGGTCAAGGCGGCAAAACTGGAAAATAAATCAAAACCTGGCAAAGTCAAAATCTCAGAGAGAGAGGCAGAGAGAGAGAGAGAGAGACAGAGAGAGAGACAGAGAGAGAGACAGAGAGAGAGACAGAGAGAGACAGAGAGAGACAGAGAGAGACAGAGAGAGACAGAGACAGAGAGAGAGAGAGCTTGAGAGAGAGAGAGAGAGCTTGAGAGAGAGGAGAGAGAGCGTTTGAGAGAGATGTGCACTTGAACATCGCTCTTGTTGTTTTTCTTTTGTTTAGTTGCTGTTGTTGTTGTTGATGGTGAGGGACAGCTGTGGTAACCAGGACAGGCGCGGGGTTGCTAAGTTGGAAGACTAAGAACATGTGTTTTCAACAAAATTTAAAGTGAATTGGTTATGGTCAATGCATTCGTTAGCTGCGTATTCGGGTGCGACTCGCGCACGGCGCGATCTTCGGTCTTTGCTGGGAGGACGGGTAAGCTAGAGGGGGTGCGTGGAAGAGGTCGAGGCGCAGTCAGTGGGCGCTATGGGCCTCGTCGCGCAGGAGCTTGAGGACGTCGGCGCGGGATATGGTCTCACGACCAAACGCATAGCGGACGGGTTCAATGACCTCGCGAGCGCGTGCTAGATTGAAGAGACGGAGGGCTGGGAGGCGGTCACGGCACATCTGCGAGCTGACACGCATCTTGAGATGAAAGTGCTTGGAGTGGGCCTTGCGGCTACCACCGCCACCAACGCCACCACCGCGGGCAAAGCGCTCCGTCTCTTCCCGTTCCACCAGCCCGGTGTAGTGATAGGATTCTCCAGAGATGCCAAAACGTGTACGAAACTCGTTCAAGGCGGCCTCCAGCGCATCCACTTGGCTGGCATCGAGCGAGACCAGTTTGCCTTGATCCACATGCAGTGCGGTGATGGTGATAAATGGCTCCAGCTTGTCCGGCAGGAAAAAACAGAAAAATACCTCATTGGCCTGCACATGGTGCAGCAACGTCACGTAGTCACGACGCAGGCGAATGTTCAGAAAGTTTTTGCGCTGATTGCGCACCACGGCCACCTCCATGATGTGGCGCAGGATGGCTTCAACGCGCTCAAGCCGCTCATAAGCCTCGTGCTGAATAGAATGGATCACCGCGCGATCCAAGGGATAAGCGGTGCTCGCATACTCCTCCCGCAGTTTGATGTCCTCGGTGCAGTAAGCCATGGTGTCAAGGCTCCTTTGTCACAAGCAACGACGTCCGCCTTCCCAGCGTCCCATGCATGTACTTTGCGGAAGGAACCTTGGCCTTTCCACCGATCAGCCCTGGCATTGCCCGTTGACTCAGGTCGATCAAGCGACAAGAATCCGAATTTTAAAAACAAAAAAAAATTCACATGTCAGTAAAATTCACCGTAAAATAACATTACTCTCTCTACTTTAAAACCTGATGCTCACTCACGAGTCTGCGCGAGTCTCTCAGTCTCGGATAAGACTGCTACTGTACGTATTCTACGTGATGAAAATGGAAGAGTCGTCACCACATAAAGTTCATCTGCTTCTTCAAAAAGTCCAAGGGTTGTATATCATTGAACACCTTACAGATGTCATTATACTGCATCTTCTTTAAAAAGACCTTCACTAACCAAATGCATTTTTCTTCCAGTCAACTCGGTGAGTTACACACGACACGTCGCTCAGTCAAAAACAAAAAAAAAAAAAAACGGCAGCGGCACGCCGTGACCGGAGAGGGGCGACGGTGTAGCGCGGGGGACGATCAAGTGGCAGCAGGGCTTTACAAACGAATGGGTGGGAAAGGGTCTGGCTTCTGGCGCGATGTCCATGAGCCGTTTTTTTGGAATATCGGGCTGACTGGAGCCTTGCTCCTTGTGCTACTGCTACTGCGACTGCTGCTGCTGCTGCTGCTTGTTGGCTGGCACTGCCGTGACTGAATCAGTGACTCTTCTCATCTCTTCTCACTGTGGTGATTTGCTGTGCATATCTAGGAAAGGAAGAGGTTGTTTGTCTTGAAAAGCAAGCCACCGTTTTTCAAGGGGCACACGCTTTTGGCTTCACCACTGACCATGGCTCCAGTGAGCACGGAGGCCATGCTGGGTCGGCTCCTGCTCGCAGCGCTGCTGGCAGCAAGTCTGGTAGCTGCTGTTGATCGGTGCGACATGCGTTGACACATGTGGCGCGAGCATTCGCCTAGTTCTGTCGTGTCAGCTGATGCATGTCCCTGTGTGCCTTTTTGCTCTGACAAACCGTAGGAACAACTTTAAGACATGCGAGCAGAGCGCATTCTGCCGCCGTCATCGTGACATGCCCGTAGGTCCCAGACCCCACTTTTCCCTCGACATGCTTCCTGACTTGAGCACCAGTGGTCCCCTCTCGCACCAGTGGTCCTCTCTCGCACTTGTGGTCCTGTCTCGGTGCTGACTACCCCACTCGTGCGACTTGTGTGTGTAGGAGGGCGCGTCAAAATATACTGTGCGCTCGAACATTGAGGTATGGTCTCTAAAAGCTCACTTTGTTCTCAAACGTTGAAAAGAACGTGCTTGTATTCCGTGCCACAGGTTGTGCTTTGCTCACCCAATCGTCACGGCTCTTCATGCAGACCTCAGATACTGGCATCACCTTTACCATCCTAAACACTGAGACCAACGTGGAGCTGGCAGCCTCCTTCGAGGCCTTTGAAGGTGCCACCGGTCGACTCCGGATCCGGGAAAAGGCGCCAATCCGCGCACGCTATGAAGTGCAGGACGTTGTGAATCCCCACCTCGTGCATGTGTCCTCGACCATTGGGCAACAGGTTTGGCCAGTCGAAGCGTTCACTTCATGTCTCGTTCCTCGCACTCGCTTCGGTCCGGTCTAACCTTGGAACCGGCCCTTTGTATTCTTGGTGGTGTGCTCAGACAGAAGATGGTTTCGTGGTTAACTTTGGCGAATGTGCCATGGCCGTCACTTACCAGCCTTTCCGCATTGACTTTTTGCGCAAAGAGGTCGGTCCAACAGCACCCATGTTAGCCGCCCCTCGTCCTGCCGCATTGCTTGCCGCTCATATCAAGCCCCTCGTGTCGATCCATCGCCCATGATGATGGCAGGCGGTTGTGATCAGCCTCAACAGCCGTGGGCTGTTCAATTTTGAGCACTATCGCGAAAGGCAGGAGGGCGATGAAGAGGGCATGTGGGAAGAAGACTTCAAGACCCACAAGGACACCAAGCCTTACGGCCCCTCGTCCCGTGCGTTGCTCAGTTATTTTGCACCCAGGCTTTTGTGCCCACGTCCGAGCTACGATACCGCAACTCACGAGCTTCTGCTTGAATTTGAATTGGTTGCTCCGTTTTGTTCGTTGGTTTGCAACAACAGTGGCTATCGATGTCTCATTCCCAGGCGTGGCCAACGTGTACGGCATTCCCGAGCATGCCGATGACCTGTCGCTCAAGCCCACTCGGTAAGTTGGCTAGATTCTCGTTTCAAAAGTAATATCATTCAACTCGTGGTGGTCCATTCCCGTTGCTGAACCACGCGGTACACTGGTCGAAACTGTCCTGCTTTAGGGGCTCTGGCGCCGATCGCCAGCCCTACCGCCTTTACAACTTGGACGTGTTCGAGTACGAACTCGAAGAAAGCATGGCGTTATATGGCAGGTGTGTTTTCCGCAATGCAGCCGAGCCACTGGTATCGATCGCCAGCGTCCCCTCTTACAGATTGCCACGCGTAGCATTCCCTACATGGTCGGTCACAAGGCTGGGCAGACGAGTGGGTTTCTCTTTCTGAACCCTTCGGAGATGTGGGTTGATGTCAAAAAGACTGAGACCTCGGCTGTCAACGCCTTTGCCAACCGTGTCAAGTCCATGTTCACGGGCTCCAGCAATGAGGAAGTGCCCCAAACGGATTCTCACTGGATTGCTGAGAGTGGCATCATGGACTTTTTTGTCTTTTTGGGCCCCAGCCCCAAGGAGGTGTTCCACCAATACGCCACAGTCACGGGTAAGTCGATGTGTCATCTTTCTGAAGGACGTTCCGGGGCGCATGCGCGTGCTTGTGTACCAGTGACGGTCTTGATGGCTACGACCTAGGCTTTTCGCCGTTGCCCCCGCTCTTCAGCCTGGCATACCACCAGTGCCGCTGGAACTACAACGATCAGGAGGTGAGATAACACACGTGCTGACAAGTCCCTCCCTCTGCGTCTCTGGGTGCATGCGGCTTGCCAGCTTGTAACTCACCACCCCCGCCGGACCTACCAGGATGTGCGCTTTGTCACCACCCAGATGGATGAGCATGACATTCCTTTTGATGTCATCTGGCTGGACATTGAGCACACGGACGGCAAGCGCTACATGACCTGGGATCAGGCCAAGTTCCCGGAGCCAGAGGCCATGCAAAAATTTGTTGCCTCTACAGGACGTCGCATGGTCAATATCGTGGATCCTCACATCAAGCGAGCAGGGTCAGTGCCCTCCCAAATGTACCCTATCGCCATACCTTCCCCCACCCCGCTACTTGCGTGACACTGATCGTCTCGAGGATGTCAACAGGGGATACCACCTGCACGAAAACGCCCAAAAGCTGGACTACTACATCAAGGACCGTGATAACAAGGCCTATGATGGCTGGTGCTGGCCCGGTCCGTGCTGCGCATACCACATGCGTTTCACCAACGATTCACCATGCGCGCGTCAAGTCCTCGACTCGACCCGCTTTCACCGTGCTGTCTATCCTGGGCCAACCCTGACACGTCCTTTAGGTTCTTCTTCTTGGCTGGACTTTTTGAATCCTGAGATCCGCTCGTGGTGGGCTGACATGATCAACCCTGAGCATTACAAGGGCACGACTCTGGACATGTACTTCTGGAACGACATGAATGGTATAGCAACTGTTGTGGCTGGCCGTTCGTTAGCTTTGTTTTCGTCTCATCGAAAGCATCTTCCCCTCGGCCTCTGTACGATGTGGTAGAACCGTCGGTCTTTAACGGACCTGAGGTGACCATGCACAAGGATGCAAAACACTTTGGCGGCTGGGAACATCGCGATGTGCACAACATCTACGGCATGTGGCAGCAGGCTTCCACGGCCGAGGGCATCAAGCGCCGCTCCGGTGGCTCAGAACGTCCCTTTGTGCTGTCGCGCGCATTCTTCGCTGGTAGCCAGCGTTATGGCGCCATTTGGACTGGAGACAACACGGCTGGCTGGGATCACTTGGCCGCTAGTCTGCCAATGGTCATGAGCATTGGCGTGGCCGGCCTTCCCTTTGCGGGTGCCGACATGGGTGGCTTCTTTGGCAACCCCGATGCAGAGCTGCTCGTTCGCTGGTACCAAGCGGGAGCCCACCAACCCTTCATGCGCGCACATGCCCACATTGACACCAAGCGCCGCGAGCCCTACCTCCTCGAAGAAGCGGAGCGGTAAGCTTTCTTTAACATTGGCGACTGGAGTGGCTTTCGAGTAACCCGCCCTTTCCTTGCTACTGCGCATCTGTTCTCCAATGCTCTCCCGCTCTCACGTTTACACTCGCTCGTTTGTCTCGTACCGTTCTCACCGTATGAATGGGTTGTCGCTTTTACCGAAACACAGCGGCTTTGTACGTGACGCCGTTCGCAGCCGCTACCAGCTTCTGCCTTACGTCTACACCGAATTTTACTTGGCAGAGCAAACGGGGACGCCTGTGATGCGGTGCGTGCCGTTTGACGTTTAATGCAGAACAGTGTGTGACCACCATGCCTCGACGGGCCTGGATCTGGACAAGCCTCACTTTTATCCTCCAATTGTTCCCAGGCCGTTGTGGGTTGACTTTCCCGCCGACGACAAGGTGTTTGCCGAGCAGGAGGAGCATCTGTTGGGCTCCAGCATGCTGATTGCACCCGTGCTCGAGGCCGGACATACGACAAAACGGGTATACTTTCCGGCCAACAGCGTGTGGTATGACATGCAGACATGGGAGCGTTTTGCAGGCGGCCGGCAAGTCACGGTGATGGCCCCCTTGGACAAGATTCCCGTCTACCAGCGAGCCGGTAGCATCATTCCGAAGCGTATGCGTGTGCGCCGCAGCTCGCGACTCATGGCACACGATCCCTTTACGTTGTACATTGCCGTTGATCCGGCAACGCAATCGGCCAGCGGTCAATTGTACCTCGACGACACGCACACGTTTTCGTACACTGCCAGCAAGCAATTCTTGCTTCGTAACTTTGAGCTCCGTGGCCAAGGTCAAACCTACACTTTCTCCAGTCGGTGAGTAGCCCCTTCCTACACCGATGGGATTCGTGCATTTTACCCAGCTTATGGACAGCAACCATTTCGGGTCAAGACCTGCTGACGCATTCGCCTGTAACCGTGCTCTAGTGCTGCCCCGGAGTCGGGTTCATTTGAGACTCCCGCGTGGGTCGAGCGTCTTGTGATCGTGGGTCTTGAGAACGTGGCTACCATCAGCGAGGTACGCTGCCTCCGCAACCGCTGGGTTTTGGCGAGGGTCGGGATGAACAGCCGATGTGCATGGTGATTGTCTGTGCATCTGCTAGAAAAGAGTCGGGGGTTTTATGAACTCACATGCCTGTGTGGTCACTGACATAGGAGGGACGGAATGTCGAGTTTTCCAAGAAGGGTGCCACCTTGGTGGTGAAAAAGCCCTGGGTCAATTCTGTGGCTGATGACTTCACCCTCACCATCACCCTGGCATAGAGTAGATGTTTTGTCAACGTGGCTGTTGCCGTTTCTCTTGCCCCTGAATCAACATCGGTTTGAAAGTTGGTTTGTTGTGGAAAGCGAGAAAAAAATGGAAAAGCGTGTGTGCATGTCTTCAAGGCAGGTCAGCTCGATTGCCAACGCCAGTCGGGTTCAAAGTCGTTGTCCGACTGGCACAGAAGAAGAAGAGGGAGAGAGAAAAAAAAAAAGAACGGGAAAAGCAAAACAAAGAGAGGGCACAAGAAGAGAAAGCATATGGTAAAGCAGGGCTGCGTGATCGTTGTAGCCCGAAACACTTGACCGAGTGGGCAACAGGCAGGCAGTGCTTATGCGCGTTCCACAATCATGGCGTGACCCAGACCACCAGCGGCACAGGCGGCAACAAGACCGTACTTGCCGTCCTCGTGGTGCAGACGGTGAGCAGCAGTGGTCACAAGGCGAACGCCAGTGGCACCAAAGGGGTGGCCGATGGAGAGAGAACCACCCCAGTTGTTGAACTTGTTCATGTCCACCGAGCCAAGCTGCAATTGAGTTGAGCATTTGAGTTGTGAGTAGGGCGGAGAGGGACTCGCAGTGCGTAGAAAATGTGTCTAAAAGTGTGCAAGCACTCACCTTGCCCTTCAGGCCCATGTACTCCTGGCAAAACTTGTCCGACTCAATGGCATTGATGTTGGCCAGAACCTGACCAGCAAAGGCCTCGTGGAACTCAATGACGTCAATATCGGAAAGTTGAAGACCAGCGCGCTCCAGCACCTTCTTTGTGGCGTATGCAGGGCCAAGGAGCAGCTGTTCCTTGGGGTCCTGCGAAGAGGGCAGGGGAATGGGAAGCCGACACGAGTTAGTTCGGGATATCACTGAGAAAGTCGGCACGGCGCGTGGGCTACAACGTGCCTGGGCAACAAAGGTGAACGCATTCAGGTAGGCGAGGGGCTTGTAGCCGAGCTCCTTGGCCTTGGACTCGGTCATCAGAAGGCAGGCGCTAGCGCCATCGGTGAGGTAGGAGGCGTTAGCGGCCGTGATGGTACCGTGGGGCTTGACAAAGGCAGGCTTGAGGCCAGCCAGCTTTTCCTTGGTGCCCACGCGGACGCCGTTATCCTTGCTGACGAAGCCCTTGGCCTTGGGGCTGAAGATGGGCTCAATGTCCTTGAGAAGGCCGGCCTCAAAGGCGTCACGGGCTTGTGTGTGCGAGCGAAGGGCAAAATCGTCCTGCTCCTCACGGGTCACGCCAAAGCGAGCCGCCAAACGGTCCGCAGACTGGCCCATGGTCTCACCAGAAGAGAACTCGGCAATGGCCGGCGCCTAAGCAAACACGCATGAGGACTGGCGAGACAAGCGCCACCGTACGCATGCGCAATTGTGATGTGGTACAAGGGGGGATAGAACGGGTACAAGACGATGTATACCTCGGGAGCCAGGTCCTTGGCCTTGAGCTTGCTGAGGAGCTGCAAGTAACCCGCGGGAGACTTGACCTTGCGCGAGGCGAGCATGGCCTTACGAAGACCAGGGGAGAATCGAATGGGGACGTCGGACATGGTCTCAGCACCACCCGCAATGCAAATATCAGCGGCACCCGAGTTCAGAAGGCCAATGCAGGAGGCGATGGCCTGGTTGGCCGAGATACAGGCCATGGTGACGGTGTGGGCCGGCACGGTGTCGGGAAAGCCGGCTTCGAGCATGGACTCGCGGGCCACGTTGCTGGTGCGGACCTGGCCGTAAAATCGATGATTGTTTGTATCATGTGAGTGGGCCGAGTCAAGAAGATGATGCGTCCAACAACGCTTCCTGGATAGAAGCAGCCACAGGAATGGTTGCGGGGAATGTCGTGTACGGTTGCAGAGAATGGAAACCAACCTCCTGGATGACGGTACCCATGCAAATGTGGTCAACCTGGCTCTTGTCAATGCCAGTGCGCTTGACAAGAGACCTGGGGCAAGACGGACGCGGGCGAAGGTGCGATGCGATTGTGATGAGATGAACTGGGATTGTGCATCAAATGTGTGGAGGCAGAGAGACCAAGCCTGCGCTGGACGCGGGCGGGTGCCCAGGCACGTGCGTGGCAAGAACCAAGAAGCGACATGGACTACGCACTTGAGGGCTTCACGGGCAAGATCGTGGGAAAGCATGTCATTGTAGCTATGAATTTGGGCCAACAAAGCGCAGATGAGAGGTAGTCACGCCCGCTATTGTATAACGAAACACCGTCAAAGAGTCGAAGAAGCTCGAGAAGGCATTCTGAACAAGTCAACTCACTCAGTGCCGGACATCAAAAAGGGCGTGCGCACGCCCTCGACAAGGACGACACGGTTACCAGAGCCGGCCTTGTCTACATGGGCAAATTGCAAACAAGCGAGATGGTCATGCACCGAAATAAAGCAACCGCCCAAGCCAGGAACAAGGGCAGAGCAGGTGTAGCAGCCAGTCACAATGGGTTCGTCACTCAGGCAGAAAGACCGAGCGTCGAGCTGCACCACGTACTGGAGGCACGACGGCATCCCTGCTGGGCGGCGGCCACGTTGGCCAGACCTGCAAAAAAAAAAAGAGTAGAGATCCAAAAGAAGATGAGGGTCCCAGCATCATCATTTCGCCCGACCAAGCATCGGGCCGTGGCGCTGCCACTCGCACGGACGCGGCGCGCATGTGCTGGCACGCGTTTTACCTTGACGCAAAACAACACTCTGACGCAAAGCCATCTTGGACGATCCTGTTCAACTAAAGTGCTACATGCATTCAACAACAAGAGCGCCGTCAAGCATGCATGAATGAGCACACTGAACCAGGATCCCCGTGCCACTGCCACTGGCGCCATCAGGCTCTCGTACACACATTCAACGGAAGAAAAGAGAGAGAGGAGAAGGAGAAGGAGAAGGAGAAGGAGAAGGAGAAGGAGAGAGAGACAGAGACAGAGACAGAGACAGAGTTACAGAGTACAGAGAGAGAGAGAGAGAGAGAGAGAGAGAGACAGACAGAGAGAGAGACAGAGACAGAGAGAGACAGAGACAGAGACAGAGACAGAGCCACAAAGAGAGAGAGAGAGAGAGAGACAAGCTTACCACGAAAAAAATGCCAAAGGGGGAAAAGTGTAATTGAAGGTGAAAATGTTGGAGCTGAGGAGAGAATGACAGTTGGTAGCATAAGGGCATCAGACAACTTTTGGTGGGAATTGAATTGCGGTCTGCGCTCAGCGCATCGAGGGGGTGCAGAGGACGCCCTTCAAAACCACCTGCATTAGGATACAGACTCCCGTGCGTCATGTGCGGACGCGGGTGCGGAAGAAGGGGCGTCCACATCTACGACCACGACATTTGGAGAATTTTGATCATCATGGATCGAGTGTGCGTCCGTGTCCGTCTCACCCACAACCTGGATAACAAACCGGTCCTGAGACGGACTGGCTTGAGGCACCCCCAGCTTATCGCGAACCACATTAAACTTGCATAGGGGACAGGTGTAGTGGGCTTCCAACCACGGATCGATGCAGTCCTTGTGAAACAAATGCCTGCCAGGCAGAGCCATTAAAGCCAAGATCAAAGCCAACGCGATGATGAGTCAGCAGTGCATGTGTGTTCACGCACACACAATCGAGCCAGGGAGCACGCACTGGCAAGGAAGCTGGCGAATCATGACGCCGGGCTCGAGGTCATCTAAACAGACGGCACAAGCTGTCCCGTCTGCCTCACGATGACTTTCGTCTGCGTGGGCAGAAAAGACTTGCTTCTCATGCCCATACACATATTGGGGAATGGCGTCCAAAATGGCGGCCACACGCTCCTGAGCCACCCGCCAACACCAATGTCAGATGAGAGGGCCGCAAGAGCAGGGGCAACTGTGCAACAGCGAGCATACGCCTGAGCTCTATGTTTTGATACATGGACTTGCCTGGCTGATATCAGCTCCAGCGGCCTCGCGGAGTTGTTGAGCCCGGCGCGCCTGTAGTTGTTGCTCCTATTGCCAATTATGCAGTAGGCAACCCTTGAGGCATCGCCCTCACGAAAAAACAAACAAAAAAAAAAAAAAAGGCGAGCAACCAGGCGCTCAAAGAAAGAATAAAGAACGGCCCAGGGTGCCCGAACCCACCTGGATACGACGCCGGAGGAAATATCCGTGCATGTAGATGGAGATGGTTGTGATCATGATACCACACATCACCACGAAGATGGCCACTCGACCAAAGTAAGCGGCTTGACTTGTGGCGACCCCACCGTCATTGGATTCACTAGGTTTCACCTGTGACATTGCAACGTGGTGCATGAGTGACAAGTCGGGAAGCACGCACGGGCAAAGACGAGACCAGCCAGGAACAAGGACAGAGAGACGTACAATGAGCTGGATATCGCGGATGCTCGAGTCCCACAACAACTCATCAACTCGTGCGGCTGTTTCAGGATCCAGGTACACCACGGAAAGTGTGGGCGTGGTGTCAAAGTCAACGTCAACATTGCCAGCGTCGTCCACAAACCCAGCCACAATCAAGGCCGCAGCCTTGGCTCGCTCCGCCATCTCCACCTGATGCCAGCCGCGACATCACATGGCAAAGAACAAGGGCCATGAGTGTCAGGGTATTATGGAAAAGGAGTGCGCACGAGATAGGCAGTAAGCACGCATCCTTCGGAAGCCCAGTCTGTGGCAATGCGAGGGGTGCCTTGAGGTACTCACAAGCGTGTCCCCACTACACTGAGGAAGGCGCCGGGCGTACATGGCAGTCTCACTAGGAAGAGCATGCCGTGGGGTGCGGCATTGCTATCCATTTTTGCATATCAACGCGTGCGCGCGTGTGTGAGCGCATATTATGGGACAAAAGTAAGGGGCAGGGACACAAGGACACGACACAGGAGCCGTCTGGAGCCGGTTCTATTGGTACGCACCTCATTCTGATCAAAAGCAGCGTAGAGGTCCACAGCCAGAGCAACGGCCGGCACCTGGGGGCAGTAGACGGAGAGTGGCCAGTGCTCTCGCGTTTGTGTCCCACCCACATAAGTGATAACGAGATAGGTGTCCCCCACGGTGACCGTGTCATCAGCGACGCCTGACGCCGGCAGGAGCAGCAGGACTGCCCAAACAACCACCGACAGCCATGTGAACGCCATGGCAGCACCACGTCGTCCTCCCACCATCCGCACCAGTCAACACACCAGCCCTGCTCAAACCCAACCGACAGCAAAGACGGGTCTTGCTACACCACCAAGAGGAGCAAGCACAGCACGACACTCTCTCGTGAAAAATGTGTGTGTGTGTGTGTGTGTGTGTGTGTGTGTGTGTGTGTGTGTGTGTGTGTGTGTGTGTGTGTGTGTGTGTGTGTGTGTGTGTGTGTGTGTGTGTGTGTGTGTGTGTGTGTGTGTGTGTGTGTGTGTGTGTGTGTGTGTGTGTTACAGTCTCAAGAAGTCAGGCAGTTTGAGTGGTGCCATCAGAAGAGAGATCTCTTGGCTCCTGTCAAGACTGTAACGTCATGCCAAGGTTCGGTCATAGTCATCTGCGTGAGATCCGATGTGTAGAACAGGGTAAGTTCGGTGGGCGCGGCTCTCCTGGACAACGGGATGGAAATGGTTTGGCCATCTGCTTGGGGCGCCTTATGGAAACCCTTTGCTTGACGATAAGAAGCTTCCCTTATGCTGTGAGCTTAACACGCGCCCAAGTCTTTCCCCATTAGGGTTATTTGTAATTTATGCAGCCTGGATCATGAATGGATGCCGTGCACCGGTGTGTACGATGCAGCCTCTGTCACATCTCGATACCGTACGGGTTCAAGGCTTTGCGGGCTCCCGACGGCAGGTGCATGCAGCCGGCGGCAGCTGTTTTCTGGCCCCCGGTGTTACATGTGTGCCTTTCGTCATTCTGTCTGACATTTGCCTCGTCAGAGGTTCATTCATTCTGGACGCCGTCACTAATTATTGCTCTGATGAATTGGTCAACTAGAATGAGGTTGATGGAATCGCGTCAGGGATTCACGCCGTAGAATGGGCGCGGTTTCAAAGTACAACGAGCACTCATGACCGCGGGGTGGAGAAACGTTACGCAGGCAGGATCGGGTGATGACAACATGTACAACAAATATACCAGAAGATTCAACTAATCTCTAAAACAGTGCTGGAAGAGCAACGCACACAAGACACGAGGCACGGAGACACTCGGGGAGCCGACACAGGCAGGAGAAGACTCAAGCAAGGAAAGACAAAGCAGCTATAGGCGTGCCATAGAGCAGTCAAGCGGATAGGGACCAAGCTCTTGGCACATGAAGCAAACAGATGGCGGTCACGCACCGTCTGATCACGCGGGAAACACCGGGCAAAGCACAGCGGCGGCAACACAGTTGCAAGCCGTCGACGACAAGAGCCAAGACGAAGGACTCAACAAGCCCTCGAGTGGGGCAGTGATCAACGTGGCATCACGTGAGGGACCCGCTGCCGAACAACATTCAAAAGCAGATTGCGCTGCTCTGTCAAACGTTGCTTCTCAATCATCAAGGCTTTCTGCTCGGCTGCTAGCTCCATTAGACGCGACTTTTGCAGAGCCATTTGATGCTTTTCCGAGGCCTTGCGACGTCGTGCTGCATTCCGCGCAAGGACGCGCACGCGCTCCGCGCGCGCCGGAGCCAGGTTAGCAACTCGCCGCTTCTCGTTGGGGTCTAAGGATCGGCCTTCCTCAGCGGCCAGGCGTGCCTCTTCGTCTTCTTCGTCTGATGGCACTTCGGGAACGGGATCTTCCACCACATTCAAATCGTACTGAGATGAAGAGCCAACACCCCAATCATGAGAGGCCGGTGATGAGGAGCTACCCAAGCTTTCCGAGTCCATGCCCATGCCCATGGTAAACGCCAGCAGCGACGAGTGGTCCGCCGCTGATCCAGGGTTGAGCAAAGGATTGACGCCGGTACCAACACCATGCGCTGCCAACATGGTCTTGTGGAGCGAGGCTAGACTGGGGCTCGGGGCACTTAGCTCGCCTAGATGGGCTACATCCCCCATGGTAGGGAATGCACCGCCGCCATTCAACTGGGTAGGTGGGAGCCGCGGCATGCCAGGTCGCACCAAGTCTTCTGGGGGCTTTGGAAAAGCCGACTGCGCATCAACGTGGGAATGATGGAGCAAGGCAGGGTTGATCTGAAATTCACCGGGCGGTGGGGTGGCTGTGTTAGGATGAGCGCCGGTCGGGGCTGCGGAAGAGGTGGCGGCGTCTGATACGCTCACGGCGCGGTGGTGAAGCATGTGCGTGTGGGTCAGCGAGGTCGCCTGTGAGTTGCTGGAGGGCGTGGGACCCATATTTGAAGACGGCGTTTTCAAGTCTGAGGACATGCCCATGTAACCGAGCGTGTAGAGCGGCGCATGGGGTTCATCTGCGACGTATGCCCCGTCGCGGGACAGCATTTGATGCCCCAGCTGTTGTTGCTGCTGTTGCGGTTGGTTTGAACGTTGGGACGTCTGGGGACCCTGGGAGTGAGCCCAACTGGTTTTGATGGCCTGTTGCGCCTTGAGTTGCAAGACATCGTCCCCTGGCAAGGGATGCTGTAGTTGTTGGTTCAACTGGATCTGATGATGGTGTTGCTGCACTTGGTATTGCGCGTAGTGTTGTTGTTGTTGATGTTGTTGTTGATGTTGTTGTTGATGTTGTTGTTGCGGGCTGTGTTGTTGCTGTTGCTGTTGGCGCTGTAAATTGAGCTGGTGCTGGTGCTGCAGGAGGAGCTGTTGGTGCTGTAGTTGGAGTTGCATTTGCTGGGAGAGGTGAGGTTGCGCTCGGGCAGCGCGCAACTGCTCCAAGATTTGCTCCTCGTGTTGACGGCGGAGCTCCACGACCACGGTGCTTCGTGAGCCAGGACTAAGATCTTGAAGCATGGTGCTAGACACGGATTCGGGCGAAGACTTGGCAATCTCCACCAACCACCGCTGGACAAGATTTAATTGTTGTTCAAAGGGCAGGTTCAGGATGGCTTCGGGTTGTTGATTAAAATGCAGAGCCAGGTGCTTTTGCAGCTTGGCCAAGGAAATGAACGGACGCGTTGCGTCGTCTGTGCCGGCACTCACACCCGAGGCTAAGGGTGAAGTGGTTGTGGCCGTGGTCATCATGGCAGCTAGGGTGGGCCCTTGCGCGGAACCCATGGTTGTGGTTGTGGTTGTGGTCGAACGTGAGCTTGGGTGGTGCTGCGGCAACGGGTTGATATTGCCATTGTTCAGCAAGTCAAGGGAGAACCGGCTCATTTTCGGAGGCGGCAAGGCACCGAGGGGCGCCGAGACTGCTCCATCCACGCAAGCTACATCACCAAGCGGATTGAGGGCTGACCCGTTGAAATTTAGGTGGGTCATGCCGCCACGAGGTCCCGAGGCCGTTGTGTCAAGGCTCCAGTCGATGCTGCTGAGGCTGAGGCGGGGTGCCTGTTGTTGGTGGTGGTATTGAGGTTGATGCTGCTGTTGTTGTGGCTGGTGTTGTTGTGGCTGGTGTTGTTGCAACGCTTGGGTGGTCGAGGAAGAGGTGGGGTTTGGAAACTCGCGCGAGCCTGACCCCGGCGGGTGGGGCTGCTGGTGCGAATGTTGCTGTGGGTGATATAATTGAGACTGCAGGGGACCAGCCGTCGAGTAATTATTATCAGAAGGGGGCGTCCTTCCTGCCGGGGCTGTCGACGGGCCGGAGCCCGATGTTGAAGTTGCGCCATGGGAGGTAGTAGCTACTGGACTAGTGCGGGATCCCAAAGAGGAGGCTGAAGTCACAGCCAAGTTGATCGAGCCTGCGCTGACAGAAGAAGAGGCGGCCAGGGTCAGGGACGAGGAAGCGGTGGGCAGGGCTGCCTTGGCCAATTTTCGCTCTGTGGTGTAGGAAGCTGTCGGCAGGGGCGCGTCAAAGCCAGGGAAGTGACTCAGATCGATACCAAGCCCGAGACTGTTGCTGCCTGCTCCGGCAGTGCCAAAAATATTGCGAGAGGCTGCTTGTGAGCGCACAGTCGAAAAGTCGGCGCCCAAAAGCGCTTCCCATGGTTCGACGCCGGTTTGAGCCGGGAAGCGAGAATCGAGGCTCATGTTGGCACGCCTGCGGACATGGGTCGCGAAGGCGCGAGGTGGAGCAAAATTGGCTTCCAGGGAAGGCTCGACAGAAAGCGTCGGGGCAAGAGCCCTGGCGGGCTGGGCGGGGCGAAACGCCTATCAGCTGTTGATGGCGTTGGTAGGCCGTGAGTGGAAAGGTAAGAAGGGGGCCTTTAAATCCAAACTCGAATACACACGGCTTTTGAAACAAGAAGGCACCTAGAAACCAGCGGTAACACAAGTCATGCATAGGTATCAGCCGGACGTGTGATAGGGCAAAACAATGGTCGCGGGAGTGTTGACACAAACTCGAGGGATGTGAGTTGAAGAGACGGGTGGCACTTAAAGAAAAAAAAAAAAAAAAAAAAAAAAAAAAAAACAGGCATCAAGACGCAGATGAAGAAAGCTTGATAGGCAGGGTGCAGACTGAGCGTGTCCAGAGGATGTGTGGACTACGCAACGCAACGGACAGATGCACGCACGGGAAGGACAGCACCACCAAAGCACTGGTCTGCCTCCAAAGTGGTGTGTGTGTGTGTGTGTGAGGTCAGAAGCAGGGGCGTGGAAGGGACAAAGGAAACCAGGAGGACGGAGTGAGTGTGTCTGTATGGATGAGTGTTGGCCAATGTCGAGGCTCATCAGGGGGTATCAGGAGGGTGTGCTCTGGAGATGTTTGACACTCGAGCAGAAGGTTTGGAGAAGGACCAGAAGGGCCGGGACGCAAAGTCCGAGAGGAAGAGAGAGGGAGAGGGAGGGAGGGAGAGGGAGAGCGTGGCAGGGGCATACCGTGGGACTTTTCAAAGATCCGATGGTGTTGCAAACGGAGGTGAAACGCCGTTGGCAGAAAGCCCAGGAGGTAAGAAGAGTCAAGGCTTCGGTCGCGGCGGGAAGCAGAGCACGGTGACCCTGCGTTGCTGAGCGGGGGAGGGGGGCACTCGAGACACGCCGCGCGAATGCCAGAGGCACAAAGCCAGGCGCGAAGGAGAGGTCGGAGAAGTGGCCAAAGACAAGGACCGATGGCCAACCCGGTGTCAAACCAGCCAGCTTTGATCAGCAGATGGACGATGTGAGTGCCTGTAGAGCCGCCGTCAGCACGGGACAAGGGATGGGACCAGCAGACCTCTGAGAGAGAGAGAGAGAGAGAGGCGCGAGGCGGGTTGTGCAGAGCGAGCGAGCGCTCAGAGAAAGGGGTCGGACGGCGAGTAGCTGAAAGAGAATGGAAGAATTTAGGACAATGTTTCAGAGAAGTGGTGCCAGGAGGGTGGTGAAGAGGGTCAAAGTAAAGGTCATTGGCAACAACAACCAGAGCATCAGCGATACCGACATGGGTCAGTCAGAGAGAGCCCCGTGTGGAAAGAGAGCAAGAGAGGGATGGAGAGGCATAAGCAAGTGCGTCATTCATCGAGACAAAAACATTGAAAAAAAAAAGAACAAAAGAAACCAAAAGAGAGAGAGAGAGAGAGAGAGAGAGAGAGAGAGATGAAGAGAGAGAGATGAAGAGAGAGAGAGAGAGGGTTACAGAGAGAGAGAGGAGTGTGTGCATGAGTGTGAGTAAGCGAGAACACAGAGAGAGAGAGAAGAGACAGAGACAGAGCGACAAACACACACACACAGACACGGGGTCATTGTAGTCGTCGTGTTGGCTTGGACAGGTCAACCTTGCAACGGTCTGTCCATTTCATGTGGTGAGTTTTAGAGAAACGGCGGGTGGAGTAGGGGCAGCATAGGGCTGACTTGCAGTATACGGTGGGGTTATTGCCGGTACGATGATTCGTCACAGCATGCGCTTTGCCCCTTTTGCCAAACACACACACAGCACACAGCCAGAGCAGGAATGACTGACCCCAAGCGTGTTGTTTTTGTGATTGCCAACCAGATTCTTCCGTCGACGTAGTTATCCGGCTCGCACTGTGGACGTACATCGAAGCCGCGCGCGCACACACACACAACTCGCATGGATTCTCTCGTGCGCTCCACTGCTATTCGGTTGCTGGCCTGCCTGCCTGCCTGCCTGCCTGCCTGCCTGCCTGCCTGCCTTCACTCGGTTAATCAAGTAACCGCGTCAGGGGATGCCATAGGGAGAAAAAGAGTGGCAAGACCACCCCGAACAAGAATTTGGGCGATGGCCATTCTGGCTTTCAATCACCTGTCCGTTACCGTGTTGTGGGACAGTTGGTCCGCCTCGCGTCGAGGCGCCAGCTCGGTCGGGCCAGGGGTGGGCCAAGGATGATCGGAAGTTGGGGCAGAGCCCAGACCGTGACTTCTGTTGGAGGCGCGTAACAGCGGTCATGCGTGCCGTAGTCAGGTTGGATCGTTGGACAGTTGCCACCCGACCCTGTTGAGTGATTGTGTTTTGGGGGGTTGGCCTCCTCCCTCCCCTAAGCTTAAGCACAGCTTGGAGGAGGCGCAGGTGGGAATGTCCATTGGACAAGTGTTGTGGTGCTGGAAGAGTACACCGACCTTTGTTTTCCCACACGTTTGCTGTTGTACGAGTTCCTACTACGCACGCCATTGTTTTCCCACCACCACCACAACGTCATGCCCTCCCACCAAACAACGCCAAGCGGAAAAGATTGCACCTGTTGGCCCATTACCAATTGTACTTCCATGTCGCAACATCCTGTCACGTCAAAGGCTACACGCGAAGCGACCGGTTGGTCAAAACCCATCCACACGCAACCCTCATGAGGACTCGAAGTCACAGATTGATGCCCAAAGTGTGACAGAGTGCAATACAGCGTAACACTACTGGTGTTATAAGTATCTCCTTCGTTTGCTGACAGCCCGATCTCCAACACGTCCCTACTCCGTGATGCAGTTGCGACCAGAAATCCCACACACCCCGCTTATCCATGATTATAAATTTGAGCCGATCCGCAAAAGCATGCACGAGCGAGAAGCGCTTATGGAGTCACACGGGCACATAGGCACCCACACACACACACACACACACACACACACACACTCACACACACATGTGTGCACACTCGCCCATACGCTTTGGAGCAAAAGGACACATTCAGCCGGAGACGGCGTCCAAGAGATTGGTGTAGTAGAGGCGCAACTCACGGCACGCCTGCTCAATCTCGGCATTCTCTTGCGCGACCACCTGCGCATAATTGGCCTGCTCCTCTTCGCTCAGCGACGACAGCTGCTTCTCCTGTGTACGCCGCTTTTGCTACCGATACCAACAGGGCGAGTGAGCACAACATGGGGTTGAACATCCCGCCCACCCCCATAGTCAGGGCAGGCGGCACCGCTCAGCTGGGAGACAACAAAGACCCACCAGCAGCCCTTGTGACAGACGTCGCGTCACACATTTTTTGAACATGGTATGCATCAGCGTGTCACTGCGAGTGCGTGCCTATCACCCACCCGAAATAACATGTTCCAGACGCCATCAGCCCATGTTATATTCTTCTGTTTTTTTCAAGTCGCGGGGGTTTTTCTTTGAACACACCTTGGCCAGGATGAGCATTTCGTAGATGCGCCGTGCTTGCAAACGATTAATCTTCAACTTGCTCTATGTTCAGGCCCAGGACATGAGCTCAAAGCCTACGGCGCAACCATGCGCGCACGAGATGACCACCCAGTGGTTCGCACCTGCAGCAGCTTGCGGAAGACGTCTGAATACTGCGCCGAAAACTCAAAGTCAGCAATCTCCGGCACGCTCAGACAACGCTCAAGATCCACCTTGTCTCGCAAACTACTCAGCCACAGCTGTGAGAAAAAAAAGGAAAGGACAGCCAAGACACACACACAAAAAAAAAAAAAAAAACAAGGCGAGATTTTGTGGATGAAACATCCTGCCCCGACCTAGGCTTCTTCGCCTCCAGAACAAACGCACCTGGAAAAGTATTCGTTGGGGTCCTCGACGGTCACGTCCACCACGCCGGCCAGCGTTCCAATGTAGTCGTATGCCGCCTATTCGAAATCGTGTAAATGTCGACACGGAAGGGCGCGTTAAGTCAGGCTCTCATGCAGCGACTCAACCCCCCAACCAGCCCAATCCAAGCGGGTGGCACGACCTGCACTCACCAAAAGCAGCTGGCGACCATGACCTTGTCGCTGATAGGGAGGCAACACCAGCATTTGGCTATTCCAAAGACCAATGGCAAAGCCATCACGATGAGAGGTGTCGTGCAGCAGTTGTGGTGGTGCCCAAGCGAGCCCGCTCAGCAAACAGACCTGATGCGTGGCCGCAGGTTGGCCGGATAGGCATAATACGTGTACAGGGTGACAAAGCCCACCAATGCATGCCGAAAGCCGTCCCCCTCTGGAATGCGCATAAACCTAAACAACCCCACAACCAGGCGCGACGTCATGGGAGTTGGAGAAAACGGGCTGGGCTGTGTTCGCCCTGCTGCCGATTAAAAGAATCACCCAGCGTATGGGCGACGCAACATACGCGTAAAGCATGTGCCACTTGTCGTCCTCAAGATCAATGTAACTGGCGGCCTCGATGGCCCACAGGGTAAACGTCTATTGATAGCAGCCCCCATACATTGCTGTTACATCAGATGGGTGTCCTGACACACCGCCCAGGTTGACAGGAGCGACGCTGACCTGGGCGCGTTGATGGTAGGCATGAACACTGGGATCAGAAGGTCGACCCTATTGCCATACGGTATGATTTCAAGTTAGTGCCCCAACGCCAGTTTCCCCCCGCAAACACAGAGTCCTTTGACAGGCTATTCATCGACCCCGCGTGGCAGTGTGACGCAAAGCTAACCAGGTACACTTCAATGGTGTTGCCAGCATGATCGTGATACTCGTGCTGCTTGATGCCGGGAGGTGTAAACTTGGCTTCTGCCTGATCCACGGCCGCCTTGAAGGCCTCAACTCCACGCAAGCACGGTTCTGGCACATGCCCAGGTTTGGAGAGGATGAGCGTTTTTCGAGGGTGCGCGCAAAGCCACCAGGTAAAAGAAGCGGGCTCGGGTCAAAAACGCGAGGGCTCGAGCTCAAGAGCGGTGCGCACCTTCTTCGGGCAGCCACTCGAGCATAGCTGCCTCGACATTGTCAGCCTAGGCCATGCAGGATCAGGATAAATCTTGAACTCCCGCCCATTTGCTTGGCCACAACCCCGATGATCCTGCTGTCAAGGCAAGAAAAGGGTTGTACATACCTCCACGCCCGTCTCGTCTGACTCCACGCGCTGGCCATATTCAATGCACAATGACGTCAACAGGCTTCCGGCACCGTATAGAAGCTAGGCGGTCGTGCAACGTGAGTCATGATGCTGAGGCACATCGCCGCGCGATCAGGTCATGGCAGCCATATCATCCGTACCCGAACGCGCAGATTGTCATAACCATAGATTTTCTCCGTTTCACCAAAGACCTGCACAGGAGAAGCAGCAATGTCGAGCGAGGCTTGGGTGGAAAGGCTCGTGCTGGGTTCTTGTTTCGTGTTTTTGCCTGCCTCAATGACATCCAATCTCAAACCCAGGCCGGTCCTTCTCTTCTCTCCCTCTCTTTTTCTGTGTGCCCTCCCTTGACCTTTTGCTTGAAGATAGGTTTGGCAATGCCTTCCAACCAGCTAGGCGATGATGACCATACCAACCTGGTGAGTATACTCAGGGTAGCACACATCGCCCTCGCCGCTCTCAACCTCTTGACGATTGGTGTCTGTGCGGGTCCCCGAGTTGGCGGTCGTGAGCACCTGATGCTTTGAAGTAAACAACTCAATCTCCTCTCGAAAACAAGGGAAAGAAATCCGTCAGATTCAAGCTCGCAAGACATACAGAGCTCAATGGTCGTGACGGCGTCGGCCCAGACAAGGTGCGGGCCCAGTGGCTCGTCGTCCTCGTGATTCGGCGGTTCCATATTTCTTCTTTTTTTTTATTTTTTTTTTTCCTTCTGGTTTTAACGGCTAGTTTTTTTGGCGTAAAAATAGCCTGTTTTCTCCCGCCCAAAGTAGCCGACCAATATCGTCTGACAACGCGATGCTGTCTGACAATACATGTAATACATGTGTGAGGCGCAGTCAAAATTCCTAGTAACTTTTCTGACGAATGGACACGACCATGAGCGTTGGTGAGGTGCAAAAAACCCGAACTTGATAGGGTACTCCTGTGACGCTGCTACCACGACTGCCAAAAAAGTCTGACATTTTCATTTCGTTCGCGTTCTCGAGTTACAGCTTAATCTTTGATGAGTCAGAGACAACTACCCCTTACCGCATGCATAAAACAACCATAACTTGGAAAAAAAATTTAAATGATCAGATGCGCAAAACCCAACTCTTCAAAAGTCGTTTGTAGGTGTTTTTGGCTTGTTTGGGAAAGAGACAGCTGTTTCTCGAGTCTGACAAAAACTAGTAGGAATAGCCTCCAGAAGCGGCACCGAACGCAAGAGGTTGGCACGCTCCATCTCTCTTCCTTCTCTCTCTTCCACCTGTGCATCTCTCCCTTCTCTACCGTCCTCTCTTTACACAAAGTTCATCCTCATCCCCTCCCTCTCCATTTCTCTTCCTCTTCACCTCCATCTCTTCACCGGCTGGCATTTTCACTTGACGATCCGACGGCGACTTGAACGACGACAATTTGAACAACTCCAACACCGCCATGGCTAGCAAAGGTGCGCGAGCCCGATGCCTTGCTCGAATGCCCTTTCGCCTCCTCCTCCTCCTCCTCCTCCTTCTTCTTCTCCTTCTTCTCCTGCTGCTCCTTCCTGCTCCCCTTTCCTCCTCCTGCTGCTGCTGGATGTGTGTGCGTTTGTTGTCAAGGGTTGGGCTCATCTGATTGAAAATGTATGCTTTTGGCGGTAGCTGAATGCTGCTCAACCAACGCTTGCGGCGCGACGTGCATCTGCGGCGACAGCTGCCAATGCGCCAGCGGCAAGGGTACGTGTGGCGCGGTGCACCTTTTCTTCTTCTTCTTTGTCTTCTTCTTCTTTTCAGCTCATGGCGTGGGTCTGTGATAGGTGCCGAGGGGTGCAATTGTGCCAAGGCTTGCCAGTGCACCGACTGCGCGTGCTGCCAAAAGGGTGACGGCAAGTGCTGTTGCAACGGTGCTGCCGCTTGCGGCGAGGGCGACTGCAAGGACTGCAAGTGCTGCAAGAAGAGCTGCGACTGCACCAGCGGCGGTGACTGCCCCTGCGGCGACAAGTGCGACTGCACCGACTGCAAGTGCTGCAAGAAGAGCTCTGCGGCCACTGCCTCTGGCTGTGGCTCTGGCTGCCAATGTGGCGACACCTGTGCTTGCGGCGACAAGTGCGAGTGCGGCAAAGGTACGCCACATGGCTCGCCCCGCTTTGTCCATGTGCTCTCGATCTCTTACTCATGGTGGTATTTCCGATGGCTGTGTTCCCATGCCTTGGCAGCCAAGTAATTGGCAAAGCCGTCAGTCACTACAGGCGCCGCGCCGTTTCTGGGCAACATGTACAAGGGGATGGTTTGCTGCTTGATGCAGATAGCCGGATGTGCATCTTTCCCGTCATTGGCGTGTGCTGCTGAGCAGAGTCTTCTGTGGCGTGCGCCATCTGGGACGAAGACTCTGCCCTGCATGTGGTCTTCTTAATGATACAAACTTTGTATCATTGGGACGAAGACCCCTCTGTGTTTGTTTTGTTTGTGGTCTTCTTTGATGATTTCAGATCATCGTTGGGACGAAGACTCTGTCTGTGCTGTCCGTGAGACTTCTTTGGTTCACGCCATCTGGGACGAAGACTCACCACGGTTTGTGGTCTTCTTTTTGATGATTTTACTTTTCATCATTTGGGACGAAGACCACATCCATGACATTTGTTAGTGTTCCTCTGATCGATGTCTGTCATTTGGGATAAGACCTGGCTTCTCGTTTGCAGCTCGCACACTTGCCTCAAGCTCGCTCTTTCGAAAACAAACCCTATTTGGAATCATCCAATTTTGGTTTGGACCGGTGCGCGCAGCTGAACTGGCTGTTGTGAATTGAACCGTGAAACCATTTTGACCATCCGCATCTCCATCATTTTTTATGTGGCAGGCAAACTGCTTGATATCCAAGGCACACAACGCCTTACACAGCCACGTCCGAGTACTTGCATTCCTCGTAAAGATTGTCCAAGAAGGTTTCTGCCTGGTTGTCCTCAACCTGCCAAACATCCCAGTGGGTCGTGAGAGCAGAAGCGGGTTCAATGTGATGAATACTCAGAAATTTCAAGTCTTTTCTTGTCGCGAGTCTTCGAAAAGCGCACCTGGCGCGCCATCTCGATCAGCATGTACAGCTTCTTGACGCCAATGCTAATGTGCACCGAGTCCGCCAGTGCCTCAATAGTCAACTTGGATCCTACAGCCGCCAAACGCATCAACACAACATGAGGCCCATGCACGACTAGTCGAGCAGCCACTGGCCTGCCATGGGCTTTGAACTGTGGGAAAGAAGAGGTACATCGACCAACCGTGGGCCAGCGCTGGACGAATGATTTTCATGTCATCGTCCGAAAAGGCCTGTACATCTTCCAACACGGCCAAGATCTACACGTGCACATGCGCACACATGACACGAATGAATTGAGGAAGCACGTTTCTCGCGAGAGCAAGAAAGCAAGATCACGCACCTCGCTCCCCTCGGTCATGGTATCCACGTGCATGACACGGCTAAAGGCATCCACAATGCCCATCATGTTCAACACTGATTGATTGCTCGTGGTGCCAATGATCAAGAGCTTGTGGCCCTTGGGGGGGCGCTTCTTCAACAGCACCAGCAAGGCCTGCAAGACAGTGTTCGAGAATCTGCGCAAGGCAGGCAGCTTGTCATGCAATCCCGCGACTCTTTTCGCCCATCACAAAGGTGCCCTTTCTCAACCCAAGACATCCAGCCCACATCCTTCGCCTTTGGTACCAGAGCGCCCCAAGCCCACAAGGAGTTGCGTACCGTTGACCCATGGGCACGTAATCGAGCAGGCGCTCGATCTCGTCAATGACGATCACGCTCTGGGGCGACTTGTAGGCGTCCTCAAACACCTTGTTGATCTTGGCCACCTTGGCAAACTCCGAATAGCCCACCATGTTCTCGGGCGTAATCATTTTAACGTAGGGGAAGCCGGAGCGAAGAGCCAAGGTCACGCCGAGCGCCGTTTTGCCCGCGTTGGGCGGACCGGCAAGCAGCACGGCCACGCGTGGTGTGCGCGTCGAGTTTTGCACTTGCTGGATGAATAGCTGCCCATCATTGAGCACTCGATCCACGCTATCACCCCATTTGACAATGCCGTTGCGGCACCACTCATCCATCTAGAAGCACACACCCGCGGCCGCCCAAGAGTCGTCAGAGAAGGGCTGGCGACTACAATAAACCCCCTGCAAGTTCGCTTCGCAGTGGAGACACTGTCCAGCATGCTGAAGCGCACCTCCTCTGTGGCAGCACCAAAGGCAGGCTTGAGTTCCTCGAGTGCCCGCATAAAGTCTTCACGCTCCACCTTCATGTCCTTGATCATCTCCTGCTTGACCTCAACCTTGCCCTCAAACCTAGTCATCACAACACGTTGAGCGTGCAAGCGACAACAGCAAGTCAAAACCGGTGCGGGCTTGGAACGCCGCAACGACAGGCAACGACAGGCAACGATTGGCATACTTGATGCAACGGTTCGTAGCATAGGACGCGGCACTGCGGCAAACACCCGCAATCTCGGCACCGCTGTAGTTTTTGGCCATGGCTGTGCGCAACAACGACTGTGCATGAGCGAGACTACCAATCCGCTCACTTACATCTTCCTTTCAAGCTTCACTTCTTGCCGTATTTTTCAAATCAGCAGCCGCTCTCTTTGTTTCAAAGCGCGCCCACATGTGAACCCTCTGCGAAAACCCACCCGCCAGCTCTTTGAGGTCAACATCAGCCCCAAGCATGTCGTTGTCATGCATCTGCTTGGTGTGAATCTGAAAGATTTGCAGGCGGCCGTTCTCATCCGGCAAACCTGTCCACCAAGGGATCAGCAAGAAAAAAAGTTTTGCGTGAGCACAAGTGGCGCGTGGGAGCACAACAGCAATCAGGCAGCGAGCGTAGACAAAGCCGGGAAAATATGAGGCGCAAGCGATGGGGCCCAGAGTTTGTGCTGCAGAAGAAAAACGTACTGATTTCGAGCTTGAGCTCCAAGCGACCGGGACGCGTCAAGGCATCGTCAATCATGTCCGGGCGATTGGTCATGCCTGTCACCATGCCGACCACACTTTGCGGTGAGACGCATGCTGAACAAGTCCACCGGGTGACGCAAGGACGAGGCCCGCACCAATCAAGAGGATGTTGTTGAGCGAATCGACGCCATCAATCTTAGAGAGCAGCTGGTTCACAATACTGTCATTCACGCCAGTGCCTAAGGACACCAACCCGCCAGGCCTGGAAAAGTCAAGGCGACCATGGCACGCTCACAGGTGCAAAGTTGTGCATATCATCTAACAAACCGTTGTTGACGGTGCCACGGGTTTTGCAAATGGCATCAATCTCATCAAAGATAATAATGTGGAGCGAGGACATTTCGCCCTTTTGCTTGTACTCGGTCTCGGCGTCCTCGAACAGCGCACGAATGTTGGCCTCGGCCTCGCCCACATACTGTACCAAATCCAACAAGCAAGAAAAAAAACATTTGAGCGCATTCACTGCACTGATCAGAAGCGTGGTCGGGAGTAAATCGCACCTTTGAAAGAACCTCTGGGCCGTTGACAATCTTGGGTTCGCGGCCCTCGAGCATCTGCCACCACGAGTGCCCGAGCATTCCACCGACATGAGCATGAGCATCGCCAGCATCATCTGGTTAAATTCGTCAAATGTACGACCAAGTATCCTGTACACGCGCTGCCCAAGTACATAGCACAGTTGCATGCGGCAGGCGCAGCCACAATGATCCATCCCTCGTGCATGGGCTGACCTGGCCAATCTTGCGCGCCATGAGCGTTTTGCCAGTACCAGGAGGTCCGTATAGAAGAATGCCTGTTGAAAAGAGCATTGGATACGGACATGAGAGTCATGATGCTTCATCAGATGGTGTCGCCACTGCCCAACTGACTTTCAAGGCGCATCAGGAAGAAAAACGCATACCTTTGACGTGTTGAATGCCCAGCTTCTCCACGATTTCAATCGGCATGACGCGCGACGCAAACGCACGACGGAACATGACGGTGAATTGCGAGTCGAGACCACCAATGCCCATGTCCTCAAAATTCCAATTGGGATTGATGATGCTGGTCTGCTGCATGGCTTGCCCCTTGCCACCCATGATCATCAAGCTTGATTCGGGGCCGGTCTTGAGTTGAGTGTGGGGCATGATCACAAATGACGGGAGATGGGCGCGGTGAGCACGGTATTTGTAGAGTCAGGGCACTCAGGACACGACAAGCGTATTTTCGGCACAGACCTTGAACTCGACGCTGGTTTGCGAGGTTGCCAGAGCGTCCCGGACGGGATGCGTGCTGCTGGCGGCGCCATCGGTCAGGGTGCGCTCGTCCAGCTTGAAAATCTCGCGAATCTGAACGCGCATGTTGGTCTTGGCACCGCCAGACGCATGAAACTCCATGACCAAAATCTATGCGAAGCAGCACAGAGCAAGACCAAAGTCAAACAGACGTCGGACAGTCCCTGTCGCTGAGACCCGCCTTGGGATTGAGCGAAAGGGGGTGGCCCGTGTTCTCTGACGATGACCCATCACGCAAGCCAAGCGGTAGCACAAATTGCTGCTGGCCATACCTGGCCCTGGGTGAGTATGGTTCGTTCAAAGGCCTCGCGAAACTGCACGCCCAGCTCCTCGGCCTTGACGCGCATCTGCGAGCTCGATTTCTTCCACAAATCAATGTCCACCACAATCTTGCTACAGAGGTGGCCGCCGCCAAGCAGCATAAGCGTGTGAGAGAAGAATTATCTTGGACAAGAGTCTTGGATATGGCACCAATGCTACCGGCAGCAGGACTAACCCGGCAACATTGAAGGGGCCTCGAAGTAGTGAAGGCGTCAGCGTCTCCTTGAGAGAGAGATGTGCCCACTCGCGCTGGGCCACGTTGGCGCCAATCTGGCCTGACTTCTACAGAAGTCACAAGAGTAGACCGGGCAAGGTTGAGCATAATGCGTCCCCATGTTGACGCAACAGGCAACAGCTGCACCTCCAGCACGTACCATCTTGCCCGAGCGCTCGATCGTAAACTTGAAGGTGTGGCCATTGCCATCCTTGGGCGAGATTTCAATGTGATTGACATCTGCCGGAATACCACAGTCTGGATGCACCGGCAGGCGGTTGCGCACGGCCAAGTCCGTGGAAGGAGTCTAAAATCGAGCCACGATACCCACCAACGTCAGTCGTGGCACTGGCCCTCCAACGCAGCTGAACGCGGAAAAGATCAGCAGCAGCAGCAGCAGCAAGGACACAGAAACTCCACCGACCTTGGTCACCTCCAATTGCAAAGCCATGGTTCTCTGTCAAGCCAAGACGCCACGTATCAATCAACACCAACACGACCGACACTATCCACTGTCCCGTCTCCGGTTCAGCCCGAGTATTCACCAACGCCCGACACCCGTCCAGTGCCTCTGCGTCTGTGTGTGTGTGTGTGTGTGTGTGTGAGTGCGTATGTGTGTGACCAAAATCTTTTTTATTTGAGATTTGTGTGTCGTGGACAACAACAAAGACAATAATGAAATGAAACAAAAAAAAAAGAAGAAGAAAGAGAGAGAGAGAGAGAAAGAGTTGAAAGAGAGAGAGAGAAAGAGTTGAAAGAGAGAGAAAGAGTTGAAAGAGAGAGAGAGAGAGAGAGAGAGAGAGAGAGAGAGAGAGAGAGAGAGAGAGAGAGAGAGAGAGAAAAGCAAGCGCGAAAGCGAAAGAAAGCAAGGGGAGAGAGAAAGAGAGTCAGTGTGTGTATGGGCGGCATAGATATGGGGGCGCATACATGCCGGAGTGTCGCCTGGATAACACATGAAGAGGGTGAGTGAGTGAGAAAGGGTGTGTGTGCGTGCGTCGAAGATTGAGTACGACAGACTAGCCAGACAGGGTCACCGACAAAGCACACACATGCGAGAATTTGGAGCTGGTGACGCGGTTGTGCTGCGTCACGAGTTGAGTTTGGTTTCGGGGTCCGTGTGTGTGTAAGTATGTGCGCCTGCAGGGGTGTGAGCGGCTGTTCTCAATTGGGCATGTAAGCATGATAGCTAAGCAAGTCACATCAACGTCCATCGGATCGCCATTAATTAGGGCTTGCAGCCCGGCACGCCCTGTCGCTTGCTCACATAAACCTCCTTCAACATGGGCAACCTCGATCTGCCGTCCCGAGTCAGAAGGCATCTATGGGAAGGATGCAAACCTCCTCATGGAACGGTTGGCCTAAGAGGCCAGGTATGCGGATGAAATGGGCGCGCTGAAACAGCTGCCTGCAGCCACCAACCAAGCATGTGCCTCGGCTTGTGGCTTTAAACACAAATAAAAACCCTTTACCTTGGAACGACTTGGCGAGCCAGCCCACATCCACCACAGTCTCATTTGAAGCCCACGTAGACTGCACAACAGCCGGCACCAGTGCGCCCGGCACGTTGACCTGATTTTGATCATGAATGACAACCGTAGGATAGCGGCATTGCAAGAGGGATTCAAACGCGGTGCACGGGCTGGCAGGCGAGATACACAAGGCAAGACGCACGGTTAAAGTTTGAGAGGCATCAAGGCCATGTGCTGCAGCTAGCTGTGCGCAAACACCATGCCATCCATCAAGCCACAGCTCCTGCGTCTGAACCAGCAACTCTTTCATCTGTACCACGCCTGCAGCCCATTCGGCAAGTTAGATGTGCTTTCACGTGTTTTAAGAGCGCGACAAATTGCGGCTCCTGACCTGCTGTGCGATGACGAGTGATGGCATAGCCTACAATGGGTCCACCTTGTTCCTCGCACAAAGCCCACAGAACATGATCTGGCATGGAACACTCGGCCCGGACCCAAGTCGCAAAATACGCAGTCGATCGCCCGATCCGTGGGGTCGTGTTGGCCAGCCAACTCGAGCCTGTCTCATAAAGTACAGCCAACTGCTCCCACAGTTGATTTTCTGGCCCCTGCGCCGCAAGATCGAGTCGGAAAGCCGTTAGCTGACCGTGCATGGCCGCCGACTCTTCGGATTTCGGGGAGATGGGCACATTGAGAAAATGCATTCGACTGGCCGTGTATCCAAGGCCAGCATAGTAGGCCTGGAGCTGCGGCTGGCTGCTATGCAGCAACATGGCATCAAAGCCAGCTGCACGGCACTGTTCCTCCAGAGCCCCCAGCACCTGCCACCGACCATCATACACACAGCTTCTTGAGTCGTCTGAGAAGCCTAGCCTGCATTAGAAGGGCGCCATCTCATCTCCCATCAATCGCGGGCAGCAGGGATTACCTTTGCTGCCAGCCCCTGTCGCCGAGCATCCACAGCCGTGCAAACCTCGCCCACCCCCGCGATACGCCACGTCGACCCCTCCGCCTCGAGTTGGCGCGCAAACACCCGCGCCGTGCTATTTCCCAGGTGGCATGGCCAACGCATCAGCCCGACACACAGTTCTACCCTGCAAACCTTGCCCTCGACAGCTGTTGACGCCTCTGAAGCGATTGCTGTGGGATCATCAGTTCAGATGACAACACCGCATGCCAGCCTGCACCGTACCTCAGATAGGTCCCCGCATGCTCCGCAACCATAACATGCGCGACACTAAACTCGGGATCAGCAGCGACATGCCGAGCAAAGTGTGCACGGGCCGTGCCCTTGGCTGCGAAACAAGCCGCGACAAAATCTAGCCACTGGTCCACCTCATCCTTCCGCAACTCTCGGATGACGACGTCTCCCGCCCCTCCCCCCATGATCTATTGGCGACCAAGCAGACGGAAGCAGGGTTGAAATGCTCGCATAAAACAACACAATTCCGAAAAATGAAAATCAGCTTTTATTTTTGATGGATCAAAAATTGAAACAAAATCCATCTGATTTTGCTTGATTTGATCGTTTTGTCTGCTCAATTAGAACAATGCCACATCATGATAAAATGATGGGCACGGCAAGCACTGAATCGTCGGGCTGACGCCTATCAGTTTCCTCCATCGAAAAATCACCTTGACCTCAAAAGATTTCGAGGCTGCATTTGTTCCTGTTCTCCCTATAAAAAAAAAAAAAAAAACATGCTTCCCTCTTTTATTGGCTCTTGGCCCACGCGGCCTCTTCAGCAAGACTATCAGCGCTGCCCTGGCACCAGGTCATGACCCGAGAGCCTAAAGATTCAAAACATGTTTGTCATTATTGCAGGTGCAAACTTGATGTGATTTCAGACGCAAAACGCATTAGGAAATGGCACTTACCAAGACAGAGCCACAGAAGCACCAGCGCCAGGCCAACCACCACATAGCGCAGCCAGTGGATATACTACAGAAACATGCAGCAGTATTGCGTGAGGCAAGCATGCAAAAAGCCATTGTTGGCACAGTCCGTTTGACCAGGGCACACGCTACACCCACCTTGGCTTGCGCAGCCTTGTAGGCCCGCAACTCGTCCATATACAGGAATCGGTTGACAAAGCCCGGGGGCAACTCAAACTATACGCAAAGCCGGACAGTGGGATATCAAAGTGGGTGCATGCAAATCAAAAGAGCAGGAACTGAAAACCCCCAGTCTGCGTTGCCCTGCCATCCTGATCTTCCCCAATTTGCAATGACACCTGACCTGGCTCGGGTTGGGATACATGGCCACAAGAAAGTCCTGAATGGCTTGAACCACCTCCTGCGCCTCGGGCTGACGATGGTCAATGTTATCGTTAAGGCACACAAATTTTTGTGGACGCTTACGAATGGCGTCAAGTTGCCGCAAAGCCTATTCACACCAGCAAATGAGTGGCCGCGTCAGCGCACGTGGACAAAATGGACAGAATAAACATGGCATGCCTTGTGAAAGCACGACATGGCAAAGCCTTCTTCGACACTCCTGGCTACATTGACACATACCGATGTCACATTCTCGTGGATCATCTTAAAGGCTACATTCACGTCATCGTTCTCGGTCTCGTGCCGATACTTGCGCCGCTCCCCAACAGTCTTGTTGTACACCTCGATCAGAGGGGTGCAATTGCCAAATAGCTCCGGTGTGACCCACACCTAACACGGAGACGAGGTCCACAAAATGGCATCACGGAGATTGAGAATGAGGTAATTTCAATCGCCACACATTTGTTCAAGCGGTGTTGCTGGGCTGCGCATCACACCTCAATGGCATCGGGCCCAACCGCTACGCCCAAGCGGTCCATGGGTTCCTAGAAATGCAACTTGCACATGAGCAAGTCTCCCAAACAAGGAAAAAGAAAGAAAGAAAGAAAGAAAGAAAAAAAAACCCCCCCTTCAACGCATCGTGAAAAATGACGTACCTGGAAGTCTGAACAGTTGAGCAACATGTTTTCAAACTCCTCCCAGTGGTGCAAGGACGTGGGTAGGTCGTAAAGCTGGATGATGAGAGTGCGCAGCTCATGCACGCCCAACAACCCTGAGACAAGAATGAGACATTCAGGCGTGAGGAACACACTCAAGAGTCTAGGGCGACTCAGGTCGGCTGTATCAGTCGCACAGCCAGGGGGTTGAGCCCACGACGGCAAACTGACCATCTTTGTCGCGGTCAAGCTTTTCGAATTCCTTTCGCGGATCGAAATCCTCCCGCTGCGAAATGAGATAGTAATAGTAGGAAAAGGCGTACTGCATGTCGCGCGACGAGCGTAGCTGATGCGAAGAGGTTGCATTCCACTCGGCTGCAAACTCATGCTACATTTGACAAAGATGAGAAAACCTGGATGAGCAAAACGAGGACACAAAGCACGATGAAGACCAAACTCAAGATCCCATGTGGAGCAAACTTACGGCGAGGTCGTTCAGAATATCGCGATCAAGAAAATGCGGCATGTGCGCTATCACCTTTCGGGCCGTCGGTCCGTACTTCTGGTTATACAGGCGATTCACAAACTTGAGAGAGTCTCCAAACGTATCTGCGTTTGCACCAAAGAAAAGTCAGGCGCATGGCAGAACGAGGCCACAAGGTGTGACTCTACAATGCAAACATAACATACCTTTCAGCCCACGCAGCATGCCATGTGCCAGGCTGCCATCGGTTTCTTCATGCTGGGTCTCAACTACATCCATCACATCGGCAAAATATCCTTGGCGCTCCCATGCAAAGCCGGCTGCGTCGAGCACATGTCAGATAAGGAACACCATTGGCACTACATAGGCAACAATTGAAACAGAAGAGGACACACGCATACCTGGTGCTGAGCTTCGAGCCTTGTAATCGGCCAGGGCAACCGGATCCGCTCGGAGCTCTGCCCACGACAAGCCCGTCTGCTCTTCCCAAGCAGCGATGCTGGCATTCATGTCCTGCTCCAAGCTCAACTGGTGGTCCATTCATGAGTGGTGCAGAAAAAAAAACAAGTGAGAACCAGATCAAGGACACAGGTCAGGAAGAAAGGTAAGGAAGAAATGTGCCTGGACAAACCTCCTTGTCCTTGGCCCGACGGATGTCTTCTGCCAGCTGTAGCTGCTCGAGGGGCACACGAGCGCCATTGATCTGGGTCCAAGCACCCAAGCCCGGCGCGCCCTCATACTGATTGTTATCTGTCTGGGCATCTGCCTCGGCTGGCTGCTGGTCCATGAGCTGCAAGCGAGCCACGAACTCAAGTAGAGGTGGAGCAAGCCGCTCAACCTGACCCAACAAACGCCGCCGAGCCGGAGCACTTGGAGCACTTGGAGCGCTTGGAGCACTAGGTGCACTTGGAGCACTCGGAGCGCTGGGTGCATTAGGTGCACTTGGGGCACTTGGGGCACTTGGGGCACTTGGGGCCCTTGGGGCACTGGGTGCACTTGGTGCACTCGGAGCGCTGGGTGCCCTTGCTGCGCTATTTGCACTCGGTAAATTGGGGGCGTTGACCTGTGCGCTTTTAAGTGGCAAAGCTTCTGTTGTTGAGCCATTGGGTGCCGCAGTCGTGAGGGCATGGAGCAAGGCATTGAGCTGCTGGGCCGCCGCTGCTGCACTTGAATTGGTTGCGTTGATGAAGCTGCCATTGACGACGCTGCCATTGACGGGGCTGGGCGTGGTCACGGGTGCTGGTTCCAAAGGACGGCTGCCATTTGCAAATGGCTCAAGCAACATATACATGTACTTTGCATATCCCTGTATGACAAGAACATAAACTATGTGAGCAAGAGTGACGTGGAAAAACTGGCCGGCCCCGCCTGTCATCGTACCTTGGCCGTCAAATCACCAAGCTCAAACTCGTTGCGCAGGGCCTCTGCTTGTAGACGTGCCTCCGCTGGCAGGCTAAAAAGAAAGGAAAAGGAAAGAAAAACATTGAATCAAAAATCAAGACGCACGCGTCTAGCTGCTCGATACATAAAAGCACATACCGCCAGCCTGATGGCAACTTGGGAATTGTATGATTCTCACTCTTGGGGCGTGGTGTGGGTGGCAATGTCGCTGTTGCGTTGTCGAGTTCCCAGTGGTTGATTGTATCGTGTGTCAAGCTGTTCCCATCAAAAGACAATCCAAAGGCGTGCGCGTGGTCAGCCACAAGTTTAAACGCCACCAGCAGCGCAGCACGACAACAAACCGCATGGCATTGGCCGCGAGTGCAGACGCGTTGATGGGATACAAGTCATAATCACCCTCCAACAGAGTTTGATTGGCGGCCGGCTCGAGCAACTAAAACAAAACAAGAACCGCGTCGTGAGCTTTGCCCAAAGCCTCTAACTTGCAGGCGCAAGCAACAGGCGCATACGTCGAGCCATTGCACGGCTACCTGATCAAAAACATTTCGCAGAGCCGCTTCAGTCGTCACCACCGGAATTGGATTGGTGCACACGCGGATGGCTGCCCGATGTGTCACCTAAAATAGCATTGTCCGCAAAACTGGGGGTTAGAGCGGGCACGCCAAACAAGACCTCAATCACTTTCATTGACCTGGCAGTGAATGGAGGGGAAAGACGGACCTTGATCGTTTCGTTCAGCATCTCATCAAAGTATTCGCCAGAAATGGTCACGCCCACCAAAGTTTTGTTGGCATTTTCGCGAATGACAATGATCAAAACCATGTCCACCTTGTTGATCACCATGCCTGCAATGGCATCGTTGTCGTCGTAGTCGCCATCGGTCAGCGTTCCGTTGTGAAACAGGTCACCCAGCTCCACGTATACGGCACGAGGCCTTGCATTGCCCACCTCCAGCACACTTTGATCCAAGACGGGCATCCAGCGAGCATCGTGCTCGCCAGCAGTACCGTTGGCTGATGCGTTAAGAACGGGACCGATCCGCGTCACATTCCCGAGATCAGCGTATGCTAGCTCATCCAAAAGATCACCATCGAGTTGAGCATCGGGCTCCTCGTACGGGTCATCGTAGTAGGCGTCATCGTCCAGCCCAAACCCGGTGCTGTTGGGATTCCAGGTCGTGGTCGGCGCCGCAGTGGTGGTGGTAGTAAAAGGCATTTCGAGAGCAGAGAGGTTCCAAAAAAGGGCAGGTAATTGAGCCCGCACCTTGGGTATGCCACAGTCGCCGCCGTCAAAACCACATTCGGGAACATTGCAAGCACGATCGCAGTAGCGATCTCCAAGCCAGTTATCGTTGCAGCCGGTGGCACAGGTGGCTAAGCGAGCGGCATTGCTGGAAGCACCGTTGTTGTTGTTGCTATTCCAACTGTTATAGCCACCACGCATCTGCGCGTTGGCGCCCAAGCAGTCTCCCGCGTCGTAGCCGCAATCACTTGTATTGCAAGCCATGTCGCAAAACTTGTCGCCAAGCCAGTTGGATGGGCAGGCGTCGGCACAGTTGGGTACGGGCCAAGCCAGGACCACCTTCTGGCCCCGCGAATGAGTGAAAAAGTCATCGGGCCAGACATCCAGACCGAAAAACACATCATCATTAAAGTAGATAAACTTTTTGGACAGGCCCGGAATGCGATGCAAGTGTGTCTCGATGGAGGGCGAGGAAAACGTTGGAAGCCACGACTTGTTGACGAAAATGTCGGCGTGTGGTACGACCTGAAGGCGTGGGTTTGCCAGATTGAGCCACGATGGGATCTGCCCGTTGGTCACAATGTAAATACGCCGCACCCAGGGGGCGTGTTGCTCAATGGAGCGCAGAGAGTAGCGCAGTTCCTGGTTGTCCTGGAAGCGGCTCGCCGAGGTGGCCTCGTCCACGTCCTCAAGTTTCTTGGCTCCCTGTTGATGCTTGCTCCCTTTGCCGGTCAAAATGTCCTCAAACTCGCTCAGGGGTAGCTCGGGGACCCAGCCAATCCGCACCAGGGGAAGAATGGCAATGTCATGGTTCAAGCTTGCATTGAAAGAGGCAGCCGCCAGCGTTTCGTTTTCGAGCAGCTCCCAGTCCAGAGGTGAAAGCGTCGGAGGCGGGGTGAAGTTGCCCAATATATCCACCGGATTGTGCTGTGCCGTAGCATCTGAAGGAGCCACCGTGGCATTGGGAGCAGTCTCTTTCACGGTCCCGTTGACACTGGAGTTTGAAATGTACTGAATCGTGTGATTGTGCACATACTCAGCCCACTGGGCTTCGTACGCCTCTCGCGCAGCAATGAGCTCGCGTTGCTCGCGAAGGCGCACCTCATTGCGAACCTCGCTCCATGTGCGCTGCATCACTCGGCCACCTTCCCATTCGTCCAACTCAGTACGGTGAATATGCAGGGTATTGGCGTCCAGTGCATCAATGAGGGACCAACGCTTGGCAAAGGTAACCAAAGCCACACGACTGGCATCCTCAACGTGGCCTGGTACGGTTAGGTCTACCACTTCGCCAAACTGCTCTTCCAGTAACAGCAAGAGCTGCTGTTTGCCCAAACCGGCGGGAATATGGCCAAGCATGGCACTGGTGTAAGGCGTAAAGGCCACGCTAAGAGAATACTCGTGAGCCAGTGCCTCGGGGCTCAGGGTGGTGGAGGGTGGTGGAAACGTTGTACCATTTTGAAGGGCCGCATCGGTGCCCTTGCTATCACCTTCGGGCTGGTCTGGCGCGACTGGAGCATCCATGGCCGGCGGCACGGTAGACGCCTGCTCTTGCCGCATGCGTTGGGACCAGATGTCTTCGGCTGTTGGCACAATACCAAACTCGGGCGGGGCCTCCACAATGCCGTCTAGGGTGGCATCACCAACAAAGAAGGCTTTGGAGAAGCTTAGGTATATGCCCGCTCGCCCATCCTTGTGATCCTCGTGGTCGCGAGTGACCAGGCCCCGACGGTGAGTGTGCGAGTGTGTCGATGTATCAGACGCTTGTGTTGCTGGAACTGTGGAGGCGTTGGGAACTGGGGTGGACTGGACCGGATGAGGCACAAATACACGTTTGAGCATGCACGCATGTGCTTGGTGGGCTTCGGAAAAGGTCACAATGCCCGCCACCTAAGTTTCAACAAGGAGATGGGTAAGAGCGGACGGGCGGGGCGATGAGAAGGAAGGCAGACTGTGAAAATGGAATCACGCACCTCCAGGTAGTCTAGCTGAAGACTGGAAAAGTTGCCACAGGTCTGGAAAATGGCATCGCGCACGGCCGCCTCACGATAGGCAATGCGAATCTGGGTCCGATGCAGACCGCTCAAAACGAGACTGTGTGGATCCAGCATCCGATAGGTTGTGATATTGATGGGTGGCTAGAAGTGAACAAATGGAACCATCGCATTGCCATTAACGATGTCAAGTGAGGTGGGCAAAATATGAGCGTCGACCTAGGCCCATGGCCAATCGAGTCCGGCAGAAGGTGCCCCATCAACAGAACATACCACAGTAGTGGTGGGAGGGCCAGTGGTTGTGTTGGCGGGTGCTAGGTTTGAATGATGGATGAGGCGTGTGAGCTCGACCGAGCAGTTTGATGAAGCACTGAAAGGCAGGCAGCCAACCCTGACACGAGCTGCATACTTGTGGAGTGTGTTGTGGTAGGAGCAGTGGTGGTGGTCGTAGTGGGAAGAGGAGTCGTCGTATTTGCACGGCGGGCAGCTTCTTCAGCCTCGCGACGTAACCGCTCTGCTTCCAGCGTGGCATTGCGCTCTGCACGGTGAAGCAGAGGTCGGGGTGAGCGATGGGCAGATGTTGGCTGCTTGCTAAATGTACAAAGCGTGCTTCACCACAAACCTTGCTCGAGTCGCAACTTGAGAGCATTTAGATCGTTGACAAGCTGCAACATTCGATGCGTGTATGACGAAATGAGGCCTCTGAGGCACGAAGAGAGACGCACAAGGCAGTTGGCTATGCAGCTGGACTGGCACGCCCGAATGAGTCAAGCTAACCTTGGGGTCAGAACCATTGACCCAGGTGTAGACAACGTCGATGGGGAGAGGCAGGGACATGCGCTCCTGAAAGGACCGACCGGCAATGTTGTCGGAAAAGTAACCAAATCTAGAGCAAAAGGCACAATAAATACATTCAGGAAACAACGACTGCGCCGGCTATTGCAGAATGAACCCAGCATATTGGGGGGTCAAGTGGCCAATCAAACATACTGCTCATTGTACTGATCTTGCCCCCACTGCCAGGTTTGCTCGCCTAAGTGTGCAATGTGAAACAGCACGAGGAGGGGATGTGAGGCGCCCCGCAGCCCAGAAGGATAGGCGCTGATGCTGCAAAGCATTCACCAATATGGATGCCAAGAATGATGACGAGGAAAAGGGTCGACAGCAAGCAAACAGTCCCATACTATGCGCATCGCACACAGGGCGTCAAATCAGGGCGTGGTGAGCCAATGGCGCGTGCGCAGTCGGCAGAAAATCAGAGAACAAGGGGCCTTCGCAGCCACGCAGCGTACTTTGGACAGTAAGATGCTGAGAAGGCGACGCTTGAACACAGTCATAAAGCTGCGCTCGTGGGGGCGCATGGCACTGTTGACCTCTGCCACCGCCAAAAAAAAGCCAGCTTAGCAAGGTTTTTTCGCAAGGGACCTTGGCTGTACCACTCGAGTTGACGTACATTTGAATCGCAGGCGCTCAGGGGCACGTGGATGCCGATCGTAGCTTTGGCATGTCCCCGGCGTATGTCTGTGTTGCTATTGACCCAGGACTACCTTTCCTCCACAGAGCCACGCCGTTATGCTTTGGTCGCGGCGAGAAAGAAGAGGCAATGACCACTGGCCCCTCTGCCGAGCAAAATGCATGCATGTGAGCCAGCCACGAAAACAGCATGTACTCATTCATGACTCGACACGCTTAAAAATGCCATGCCAATCCCTGCATCCCAGGGCCCGGGCCCATATTCAGCCTACAGGATACAGACAACCACCCCTCTGCTCGCCACACGGGGCCAGCGCCCCGCGATCAGGGCCTACTCTGCCCTCTGCTCCGCCGCCGACACGACCTCCTCCAACATCAGCAGCACACACACACTCACCGAAACAGCCAGAGCAAATCAAGAGATGAGCGACTCGACGGACACAAGAAGAGAGATGGTGAGATGGAGACGAACGTATTCAGAGACACAAGCCAAATTGGTAAAGGATCCAGCGACCTAAGAGGTGAAAGCAAACGGTTTCAGAGACACGAAGAGATGGATCGCAAGATCCACAGAGAACAAGTCTCGATACACCCAGATCAGAGACCCAACACATGGACCAACATCCAAAGAAGTTCACGAGGTTATTAGTGTGATGATTGTCATACTTTTTAACATTCAAAGTGTGATCTTTATCGCAGTATCTCTTACAAGAGTTCGCTCTTTCTTTCTCTTTTTTCTCTTTTTTTTTCTCTTTTTTTCGCTTTTTTTCGCTTTCACGAGTCAGGTAACTGTCGCTGCCGACGACGACAGCGACAGATGCTGCCTCGCTTTGGAGCTGTCTTGCGTGGGAGCGGCTGGGCAGTACTGACGCGCGGAACCTGTCAATGCGAACTGTCCCGTCTATCGCGTCTGAACCGTAGCATGGCGACCACCGGTGAAATGCAAGCGCGGGCTGGTCTGTTGGACCCTGCTGCCAACGTGTACTTTAGCAGCGTGTTCGACTCTGGGAACGGAGTGTTGATGGGTGGCGAGGTGCCTGAATCTGGTCCCGTCGTTGCTCGCGTCTCGATTGCTAAGGAACCGTTTACGGAAGGCACCGACAAGCGTCATCACAAACAATGGTAGGCACAGCAAGGCTCGAGCCCCACCGTGCAGACTTTCTTCGTACAGAGCACAAGGAGACATCAAACCCTGACTCGAGCAAAGCAAAAGGAGACAACAAATCCCGACTCAAGTACTAACGCTGCGGGCTGTGGCCGTGGTCCGCCCTCAGGTTCTACTTTCAGCTGAGCAACGTCTTGGGTCGGGCCTGTCAGGTGGAGTTGCACGTTGGGGAGACGAGCTACCCTGATGCATGGACGGGCTACTGGGCCACCTACAGCATTGATCAAGTGAATTGGCTGCGGTAAGCCCCATGCCTGTTGGCCCTATCGCCCTGTCCTCTTGCTTTTTTGTTGATATTATGCTGTCGTTTCCTCTTGAAACCGACCCATAGCGCCCCAACCCAGTACGACGCAGAACGCCTGACGGTGACATTCAACGTGGAAGCATTGACCGCCAACCGCGTTTACTTTGCATACTTTACCCCTTATGCCTACGAGCAGCACCGCCAGCTGGTGGCTGAGGTGGTGCAGGGACTTGGCAAGGTGCCGGCCTTTCAGGCACAGCACGAAGTGGTGGCTCAGTCCGTTCAGGGGCGCGACATTGACCTTTTCCGCTTTGGCACTGGGCCTCTCCAAGTCTGGATCATCGCCCGCCAGCACCCGGGCGAATCAATGGCTGAGTGGTACATGCAAGGTGCGCGCCCGGCTCATCGGCTGTGATCCTGCTGCCTGGCCCGCGTGCCACGGTCACTCAAACCCATGCCTCGCAATGATTTTCCCACTTACCGCACGGCTTTGCCTTGCCGAAACTGTTGTTGTGCAGGCCTTTTGAAGGAGCTGTTGGCAGCAGACCCGGCAGGTGACATTGCTGCTCTGCTTCAGCAAGTGACCCTCAACTTGGTACCCAACATGAATCCCGACGGCAGCTTCCTGGGCCATCTACGCACCAACGCTGTGGGCGCCAACCTGAACCGCGAGTGGGGCGCCACGGGCGACTATGCTGCGCCTACACTCGAGCGCTCGCCTGAAGTTTACGGTCTCTGCCAAAAGCTGGAGCGTGTTGGCTGTGATCTCTTTATGGACGTTCACGGTGATGAGGAACTGCCTCATATCTTTTTCGCTGGCACTCAGGGTGTGCCACGCTGGTCGCCGCGCCTGGCAGTGCTCTACCACCAGTTCACAGCAGCGCAGCTCAAGGCGAGCCCGCACTTTCAAACCAAGCATGGCTATGGCAATGATGAGCCTGGCAAGGCTAACCTGGCCATCTGTGGTGATGCGGTGGCGCAGCGCTACGACTGCCTGGCCGTCACTCTTGAGATGCCGTTCAAGGCCGTGCTCCGCGAACCCGATATGGTCCGCGGCTGGAACCCGGAGCGCATCCATGCCTTTGCTGCCACCCTCTTCCCTACTCTGACGCAGGTGGCCCCGATGCTGCGAGCCGAGTTTCCCTTCCCAAATGTTGAATGTAACCCCGCTCAGCTGCCCGACTGGACGCAGCCCGGGTATGAAAACCCCCCGAGCGAAGAGGTCTGGCCCACAACTGCGTAAAGAAGAGCCTGAATCGAGCTGGCATTGCGCCTCCCGGAGCGTGTGCTTCTGATGTCTTTTTTTCCAATGAAAGATCAGCAACACAATACATTTTTATTTTTTCAAGTCGAGCGAGCTGTTGGCAGCCACAACCCCACAGGATAATGATAAGAATACATACGCGCCTGAGTACACTTTTAGATGTGATGAATACTTTATTGTCCATCCCCATGAATATCATGTCAAATTGCGGGCTTTAAAGTCCTATTTGCAGGAAGCTTCCATGGTAAAGAATAAGCAAGGTTGCCCATATCTGACGAAGGCGTTGCCCGCCGTGTGGCGAGCACATCTGTCTTGCGGAGGTGAAGAGTTTATCCTTAATTTTTTAGCACATTTTATTCATTGGTATTTTTAATTCTTTTGCTTGATTGGCCCTTGATTTGCACCCAATTCACTGAGGCTGGATAGTTTTTTCAATTTACTACATTGGTGGAAAGCGGGTGCTTCAAAAGTCGTGAGTTGGGGGTGCCTTTTTAGCAGCCAAAGCGCCATCGCCCGAGGCTGATCGTTTGGCTTCTGTGTCGCCGGCCTGGGCTTGGGTGAACTTGGCACCACGCAGACCAGTAAAGTCGTGCAGAATCGGAAATTCCGTGCGCTCAGCCTCGGAAAGTGGGGCATTGCCGGGCCGCACCACAAGGGCAGTGCGCATAGCAGCTGCTGACGCAGCACGGCACTCTGAGATCAAGCCAATGAGCATACAGGAGTCGCTTGAGCAAGAAATGGCATGATCACTCCCGAAGCAGCAAAGACAAAGGTTGATTACCTTCGATGCGGTCCGAGAGAAAGATGATACTCTGTGGTGTCACACCAATGGCCGCGGCAATGTCCGAATAGCTGGCCGCGTCTCGCTTGGGTCCCGTCGTTGTATCAAAGTAGCCACTCAAATACTATGCCATTCAGATATCACAGGGGCGAATCAGAGTGCATGTCCGCACTATGACAGGAGACGCCTCTGCGCTGTTGTGCGGGCAATTACCGGTTGCAAGTCACCGGCCTCAGAGTGGCCAAAGAGCAGCTTTTGCGCTGCAATGCTGCCAGAACTGTAAATGTACAGCTACGGGACAAACCTCAGGTCTGAATGAGGACAACACAACGGCAGAGCATTGCCACATCGAAAGCAAGGTTTGTGGGGCGCAAACGCTAACCTGGGCACCTGCCTCGGTCAGGCGCTGAAAAGCTGGTACCACGTCTTCGTATATGCTAGAGGCACACGTTGCATGAACTGAGACGGCGTTGTTCCCAGAGACAGATGCCCCGTCACACGCTCATGGAAGAAAGGTAGGGGTGTTTTCCACCACGGTGCACTTTCTCCCCTTGTCACCTGCTCCGCCCCCAAATACAAGCACAGGAAAACCCCCCTAACGTACTGTCCCTTCACGTTGCCGCTGGTATATGCGTCCTTCCAAATATGGCCTAGCTCCAGCAAGGGATGCGCAGTGGGTACGAGGGGCCAGGTCAGAATTATCTTTTCAAGCAAATTGAGCAAAATTGGTCGGCTGGCACACAACCTTGAAGCTGCTTCAGCGCCGTGCTCTTTCGGTCCTGCTTCATCTGCCACTGAACGTTTGCCACAACCTGCTGGCGAACAGATCTGAGCACAAAGCAGAGCGCTCTGTTAAAAACCCACTCTCGTTGCACCAGGCCATAGTGAGGCCATCCTGCAGCTCGGGCCCCTGGCCCGTTGGGGCGATTTGCACCGTACGTGTCATGGTCTGGGCCAATCTCAACAGCGCCTGCTAATCCATCTTGCATATCCTGCTGGGCCTACTCGAGCCAGAACATCAAAATCAGATGCGGCATGCCCTGGTTCCGAAACACAACAGCAAAGCACACCGCTCACTTGTTCACGAAGCTTGTCAACGTCGGCCTTGACGGCGTCCGTGTCCCAGTGTGCAGCTAGAAAGGCTTCCACCTGATTGCGAGCATATGGGAACAAAACCTGTTGCGCACAAGAAACCAAATTGAGCAGACGCGCCGTGACCTGGTCCCTGTTGTCCCTGCACCAACCTCATGCACAAAGGAGATGGATGTGGTGGTGCCTATGTGAGCAAGGCGAGCAGGGCTTTGAGCATGCGCTGAATTTCTGGACAGCCGCATGGCTTCAAAGTGAGCCATGTCCAACCAATTCCCGAGTCCAACCTTCAATGTCAAACAAGAAGCAGGGCGCCGGAGCCAGGGTCGTGGTCGCCGTCTCGTCTGTACTGTTCGCCATCGTCGCCGTCGTGTTCAATTTTTTTTTCTGACAAGCACGGAAGGGCGTTGTTGGAAATTGATCGAATTCTTGTTCTGACAAGAAAGTTGCGCTGCCATTGACGGGTGTGTGTGTGTGTGTGTGTGTGTGTGTGTGCGAATCGAAAGGAGACATCGGAGCCGGCAGCTCAACTCGGTCGTGATGGGGCTCAGGAGCATGGGCATGCCAGGTAGGTGAGATGGCAGCGGGTTGACTGATGTCCACTGATTGGCAAGGAGCACAGATGTTGCCATCTTCCAGAGTCATTAACTTCTGCAGGCCTTACTGAGGATGTTTTTGCAGTTGATGCTGCTTGCAACGGGGCCTCAGGCGGAGTAATAGTTGATGATTTCTAGCTTATCGTCTATTGATGTTTGCCAGTTTTGTGCGATCGATCGATCAGCAGGATGAGGAGGACAACAACGTATCATACGAGTGTGCGATCATGGCTCGCGGGTCTGCTGGTGTTGGTCCTGGCAGGGGCAGCAGAAGCCGGGCAAACTATCAACGCGCATTTGGATCCCTTTTTCTGGCGGCAAAATATGAGCCAGTGAGTGAGCTTCCGATAAGTCTGCATCCAATTCCTTATTCTGGCGGTTCAAGGAGGGGTGGCTCATCATGTGAATAATGAATGACATTGCAGCATTGTGCGGCAGCCAGGGCCCTTGCACCAAATCACCGCCAGTCGGCTGGATCTGCGTGCCCAACAGCATCGACAACAAGTTGAG